TGACAACATAATTTAACATTTTATTTATTCATTCACTTTTTCCCCATGATATCCTCCATTCCCTTCTCTACCCCACAAGCAATCATCCTAATTTGTTTAGCATGTTACCTTTTGGGTGTGTTTTTGTGCAAAATGTGTGCAGGTTTTTTTTAAGATTTTTTAAAAAGATTTATTTATTTATTTGACAGAGAGAGATTGCACATGTGTTTTCTTTTATTTATTTATTTATTTTTATTCTTATGTTAATCCCCATACATTACATCATTAGTTTTAGATGAAGTGTTCCATGATTCATTGTTTGTGCATAACACCCAGTGCTCCATGCAGAATGTGCCCTCCTCAATACCCACCACCAGGCTAACCCATCCTCCCACCCCCCTCCCCTCTAGAACCCTCAGTTTGTTTTTCAGAGTCCATCGTCTCTCATGGTTCGTCGCACATGTGTTTTCAATTTACATAAATGCTACTGTGTCATAAAATTCATTCTGGTGTTTTTCTCCATTCAGGTGTATGCTTTTAAGATTTATCCACCCATCTAATTTATTTTAGAGGACTCCATTTTCTGCACCCATAACATCTTTTTTTAAGTTTTTATTTAAATTCCAGTTAGTAAACATACAGTGTAATACTAATTTCAGGTGTACAGTTTAGTGATTTAGCACATCAGCACTTCAGTGCTGCATCGGGCTCCCTGCTCAGCAGGGAGTCTGCTTCTCCCTGTGCCCGCCCCCCCACAGATCATGTGCACACTCTCTCTCTCAAAAAAATAAATAAATAAAATCGTTTTTTAAAAAACCACAAATATTTTATTAGGGCTAATATCTATGAGAGAAAATGACAGGGAGCTTGGGGAGGGGGTTGTCAGAACCATCAGATCATGGTACAAGTGTGACCCTGAGTGAAGGAATTTTGGAAGAAAGATTTGGTGATCATACTAGACTGCCTTGTAATTTTTTTTTTGTTTGCACATTCATATTTTTTATTAGGTTCAGGGGTAAAATTTAATGATTCATCAGTTGCATGTAACACCCAGTGCTCATTACATCAAGTGCCCTCCTTAATGCCCATCATCTAGTTACCCCGTCACCCCACCCAACTCCCCTCCAGCAATACTGTTTGTTCCCTAGAATTAAGAGTCTCTTATGGTTTGTCTCCCTCTCTGATTTCATCTTATTTTATTTTTCTTTCCCTTCCCCTATGTTCATCTGTTTTGTTTCTTAAATTCCACGAGTGAAATCATATGGTATTTGTCTTTCTCTGACTTATTTCACTTAGCGTAATACTCTCTAGTTCCATCCACATGGTTGTAAATGGCAAGATTTCATTCTTTTTGATGGCTGAGTAATATTCCATTATATATATATATATATACACCACCTCTTCTTTATTCATTCATCTGTCAACAGCTCTTTCCATACTTTGGTTATTGTGGACGTTGCTGCTATAAACATTGGGAAACTGCCTTGTAAGCTAAGTAAAGTTCTTCAAAGCTGTCAGGGAGTCCCAGCCTCCAAGAATGGCCCATCTTAGGATTTTTATTGTGTTGACTGGGAGCAATCATGGTAATACACCTCCATGCAAATGTGGTGGTGGATTTTAGAACACAGCAGTGGGAGCCTTTAATCAATTATGCTCCCTACAGTCAGGTAATTGTGAAGCAGGAAACTGTCTTGTCAATTTAGGTTTATCTGATATTCCCTCATGATTAGATTTAATTGTGTATTTTTTTGGCAGTAATAATAGTGAAGCGACATCATATCAGGGGATTTAAAATGTTGGTTTGTTCTATTATCAATGATACGAACATCTTGGCTAAGAGAGTATTCACCAGATATTTCCATGATATACCTACTATATTTCCTTTTATAATTAATAATACTTTATGGAGAGAAATTTTCAGCTGTGTAGTATCCATCCTGTTTCTCAGTAACTTTAAACCAATAAGCCATACCTGCTGTCTTATGGGTTGAGGATGACAAATCATTTTTTTTCATCTACTGAGTTTTCTGTTACAAATTCCCTGATAACCTATTATGGTATCTTATGACAGCAAAAAGACAAAAACCAAACCAAACCCAAATGAAGGCACTGGTTTCTGATGTCACGTGTGCAGAAAAGTTTAATATAGAGCTGAGAGTGCTATCTATAAAGAGGCCTGGTTGCTAGCCTGGCTCTTGATTGGTATCTGGGTACTTGGATTGCGCTGGAGGATTCCTAACATTCCCTAAGAGTATCTCACATTGCCTAAACTCTTTGTGCAATGTGATTTATGCTGAATATCTATTTTCCCTCTGAGAGTCTTTAATTTTGGTACATGCCAGGCAGAGAATGCCTAAGTGACCAGCCCCCAATAAAAAATCTAAGGCACCAAGTCTCTGATGCATCTCTGGTGACAGTTACACGTTATCACAATTTAGTGCTCAAGGAACTTAGTACATTGTGATTCCATAAGGAGAGAACTCTTGGAAGCTAAAACCTGATTTCCTCCAGACTTCATCCTTCCTACCTTCCCTCTTTTCTCACTTTACTTTTATCCTTTCAGTGTAACAAATCAGTTGTGAGTACTCCTAGTGTCTTGTGAGTATTCATAGAGAATGAAAGAACATGGATGTAGCCTTAGGAACCCCCAACATACCACACAAATTGATACAACACAAGCCTTAGTGAATACCTACTAACATCCTATGAATATGTGGTCCAGAAAATCAATTGTGGGAACCTGTCTCAACTAGATATAATTTGGTGAGTAATGCTCTTTAACTACAATGAAAAATCACCATTGTGTCTATGAACTAGCATCCAAACCTGCTCTGCATCTTTATTCGTTCCACATCCAGAGGGTCAACTGTTATTTTATTTTCTTTCTTCATGCACACCTTTTCAAAAAGGAATCATTTTTTTTTTAATGCCTCCACGAGGTATGTATACTCATTTTGCTTCTAGCTCCAGGATTTGCCCTCTCACTGTTATGGATTTATACTTCAAGCACAGCATGCATTAATTACAAAGATACAATTGTTAAAACTCATCAAGTTGTTTGTGTATGTAAAACAATCAGAGAAGTTCTCGGCTTTGAAATTGGCTTCCAGAACCCATTCCTTAATTTTGATCTTATATGCCATATGACAATATAGAACACTCATAATGGCTTAACGTCAAGGGATAATTATTTGGTACTTTCATAAATTCTATTACAGTAATTTACTGCTTTGGTAATATTCCATATTCAATGAAAAACTAAAACATAACAAATGGAAAAGTATCAGGGGTGGAGGAGAGAGGAATTTAAAAATGGGAAAAGACGGGCGCCTGGGTGGCTCAGTCGTTAAGCGTCTGCCTTCGGCTCAGGTCAGGATCCCAGGATCCTGGGATCGAGCCCTGCTCAGTGGGAAGCCTGCTTCTCCCTCTCCCACTCCCCCTGCTTGTGTTCCTGCTCTCGCTATCTCTCTGTCAAATAAATAAATAAAATCTTTAAAAAAAATAAATAAATAGATAAATAAAATAAAAATGGGAAAAGACCACAAAATGCTCCTTGCCAAGGATAACCACTATGGAAGAGCATCCCTTTATACATTATCTTATACATGTACACATAGACACATGCATGCACACAGAAACACACAAAGATCTATGTTTGATTATGCTATGAAGGCTACAACCTGATTTTTCAAAGCCCATACTATGTATTTCTCTCATTACAGATATCTGCCATAATCTTAATGGCTTCAGTATAGGAATATACCAAAACTCAAATTCCTACATATTGCACTTACCCCATTTATAAAAACTCAGTGACATCATCAATATGGTGCTCATCTTTTTAGTATTTTAATCTCATAATCTTAACTTCCAAATATATGATTCCCAGATCAAAGAGATGTACAATCTATACTGACCTATACTCCTTTCCCAGAACCATGCTTCAGTGCTGCCAATAGGGAAAAGCATATAAATACAAATCTCACCTCAGAAATACATCTGATAAAATTATCAAATTCTCACAAATCTGGGGCATATTCCTTTCATGGGTGTGGGGAATAAAGTACAGACCCTATGTGAGAAGTTGTGTTTTTTTTTTAAGATTTTATTTATTTATTCATGAGAGAGAGAGAGAGAGGCAGAGGGAGAAGCAGACTTCCCGCAGAGCGGGGAGCCCGATGTGGGACTCGATCCCAGGACTCCGGGACCATGACCTGAGCCGAAGGCAGACGCTTAACCATCTGAGCCACCCAGGCGCCCATGAGAAGTTTTGATAAAAGAAATACTACAGTAATTAGAAGGCAAACATTTTGACTTGGGATGGAAATGCAATTAGAAATCACCAACTCCAGGTTGATTAAGAAAATTGTTATTGGATGGGGCGCCTGGGTGGCTCAGTCGTTAAGCGTCTGCCTTCGACTCAGGTCATGATCCCAGGGTCCTGGGATCGAGCCTCACATCGGGCTCCCTGCTCGGCAGGAAGCCTGCTTCTCCCTCTCCCACTCCCCCTGCTTGTGTTCCCTCTCTCGCTGTGTCTCTCTCTGTCAAATAAATAAAATCTTTAAAAAAAAAAAAAAGAAAATTGTTATTGGTAACTACTGGTGACACTTTCAAAGTGTTATAGTAAATTCCTGCCTTAACGTTGATAGATAAAAAAGATTAGTTGTGTGAAATGCAGTTAAGTCCTTGCTAAAAAGACTTTTTCAGTCTATACTGTCAGAAAAATTACAAAAGGTAATTCAATGTACACCGTATACAATCCTTGGAAAACTGAACAGGGGCCCAGATAAGAACCCAACTTGAGAACAGAGGCTGTGGGAGGAGAAGAACCAATTATAGTACAGTAATAACATTAATGTGTGGATTGTAATATCAGGTGATTTTCTACATTTCAACAAATGTCCATTTCCCTGAATGAATTTTATTTTGTAGGTTTCCTCCTCTGGATACAATTTTCCTATGTTTATTTAACATACAGGTAGTAAGCACACCTACAAGTGCTAGTCAACGTTAAGGCTGTGTAGATTTTTTTAAAACTTTTATTTAAATTCCAGTTAGTTAACATACAGTGTATTAGTTTCAGGTGTACAATATAGTGATTCAACAATCCCATATATCACCCAGCGCTCATCACAAGTGCACTCCTTAATCCCCATTACCTGGGTAACCCATCCCCCCAACCACCTCCCTTCTGGTAACCATCAGTTTGTTCTCTATATTTCCGAGTCTGTTTCTTGGCTTGCCTCTCTTTTTCTCCCTTTGTTCATGTTTTGTTTCTTAAATTCCACATGAGTGAAATCATATGGTATTTGTCTTTGACTGACTTACTTCACTCAGCATAATCTCTAGCTTCACCTATGTTGTTGCAAAAGGCAAGATTTCATTCTTTTTTATGCCTGAATAATATTCCATTGTATATATACACATCTTCTTTATCCATTCATCAACTGATGGAAACTTGGGCTATTTCCGTGGTTTGGCTATTGTAAGTAATGCTGCTATAAACACTAGGGTGCATGTATCCCTTTGTATTAGTATTTTTGTATTCTTTGGGTAAATACCTAGTAGTACAATTGCTAGATCCTAGGGTATTCTATTTTTAACTTTTTGAGGAACCTCCATACTGTTTTCCACGGTGGCTGCACCAGTTTACATTCCCATCAACAGTGCAGGAGGGTTCCCCTTTCTCCACATCTTGCCAAAACCTGTTGTTTCTTGTCTTGTTGATTTTAGCCATTCTGACAGGCATGAGGTGCTATCTCATCGTAATTTTGATTTGCATTTCCCTGACAGTAAGTGATGTTCAGCATCTTTTCATGTGTTTCTTGGCCACCTGGATTTCTTCTGGGAGAAATGTCTATTTATGTCTTGTGCCTATTTTTTAATTGGATTATTCATTTTTTGAGTGTTGAGTTTTATAAGTTCTTTATATATTCTGGACATTAACTCCTTATCGAATATGTCATTGGCAAATACCTTCTCCCACTGAGTAGGTTGCCTTTTAGTTTTGATTGTTTCCTTTGCTATACAGAAGCTTTTTATTTTGATGTAGTCTCAATAATTTATTTTTGCTTTTGTTTCTCTTGCCTCAGGAGACCGATCTAGAAAAAAGTTGCTACAGCTGATGTCAGAGAAATTACTGCCTGTGCTTTCTTCAAGGACTTTTATGGTTTCAGGTCTCACACTTAGGTCTTTCATCCATTTTGAATTTATTTTTGTGTATGGTGTAAGAAAGTAGTCCAATTTCATTCTTTTGCATGTGGCTGTCCGGTTTTTCCAACACCATTTGTTGAAAAAAAACTTTTTCCCATTGGATATTCTTTCCTGCTTTGTCATAGATTAACTGGCCACATAATTATGGGTTCATTTCTGGGTTTTCTATTCTGTTTTATTGACCTATGTGTCTGTTTTTGTGCCAGTACCATACAATTTTGTTTACTAGTTTTGTAATATAACTTGAAGTCCAGAATTATGATGCCTCCAGCTTTGAGGGCTGTATAGACTTAGCAGCAAAGTCCCAGCCCTCATGGAGCTTACATTCTAGTGGGTATCAATTCTGGTATACCCATCATTATACTTGTGTTAAAGGCCAGCCCAAACTCTTTTCCTAAGTACTACTACCTCCTAAGTGATTCTGAACAAAGACTTACCACACCACTTACAAGTTTTCTCAACTGTGTGATCTTGTGAAAACTGAGATATGTTCAATTATTGCTTAAATACCAACTAAACTAACACAAGTATTTTCTCTCTTATGAGACTCAATGATGATAAGAATTCAGGGTTTTATTAAGCATCATTTTAGAGAACTTCTTTCTGATGATTCTTTGATGTTCTTACCACTCTTCTTACTTTCATAAAATGTATTGCCACCATGAGTTTTGCGATGATGTGAAAGTTTTGATCGCCAACGGAAGCTCTGACCACACGTCTCACACTTGTAAGGTGTCTCCCCTGTGTGAACCCGCTGATGAGACTGCAGCTGTGAAGAGTGGCGGAAGACCTTGCCACACACATCACATTTGTATGGCTTCTCTTCACTGTGAACACTCTGATGAACCTTCAGACTTGAGGCCTGACTGAAGTGCTTACCACACTCCCCACACTTGTAGGGTTTCTCTCCTGTGTGGACCCTCTGATGCATGTCAAGATTCAAGCTCCATTTGAAGCCCTTCCCACACTCCTCACATTTGTACGGCTTTTCTCCCGTGTGGACTTTCTGATGGGCTTGAAGGTGTGAACTGCGACCAAAACTCTTCCCACACTCCTCACATTTGAATGGTTTCTCTCCACTATGGATTCTCTGATGGGCCAGAAGATTTGCGGCCTGCCTGAATACTTTCCCACACTCCTCACAATTAAATGGTTTCTCTCCTGTGTGGATTCTGCAATGAATTTTGAGATCTGCTCTACGATTGAATCCCTTCCCACACTCTTCACATTTGTGTGGTTTCTCACCAGTATGGATCAGCTGGTGAATCTGAAGTCGGGAACTCTGATTGAAGCCCTGCCCGCACTCCTCACACTTGTAAGGTTTCTCTATGCTGTGGGTCTTCAGATGGGATTGAAGATATGCTCTCTGACTGAAGTCCTTCCCACATACCTCACATTTATAGGGTCTCTCTCCCGTGTGGACTACCAGATGAACTTGATAACGGGTTTTTGTACCGAAGTTCTTCCCACACTCATCGCATTTGTATGGTTTCTCTCCTGTGTGGACTCTCTGATGTGCCTGAAGATTTGAACTCATAGTAAAACCTTTACCACACACTTTGCATACATACGGTTTCTCTCCAGTATGGATTCTCTGATGGGCCCGAAAATGTGAAGGCTGAATGAAGCCCTTCCCACACTCCTCACATTTATAAGGTTTCTCTCGTGTGTGGCCCTTCTGATGGATATGAAGATTTGAGCTACAAAAGAAACACTTCCCGCACTCCTCACATTTGTACAGTTTTTCTCCCGTATGGACCATACAATGGCTATTAAGTGATGATCTACGTCGGAAACTCTTACCACATTTATCACATTTGAAGGGTTTCTCCCCAGTGTGGATTCTCTGATGTTCCTGAAGATGTGAAGCATGAATGAAGGCCCTTCCACATTGGTCACAATTATAAGGTTTCTCTTCCATGTGCAATTTATAATGAACATTAAGTGCTGATCTACGACAGAAGCCATTCCCACACTTCTCACATTTGAATGGCTTCTCCACAGTGTGAACTTTCAGATGAGTTTGCAGACATGAGCTCTGGCTGAATTCCTTACCACACTCATCACACTTGTAGCGTTTCTCTCCCAGATGAACTCTCTGATGAATATGAAGTGCTGAGCTGTAACAGAAGCTTTTTCCACACTCACGACAGGTATGAGACTTCACTCCTGAGTGTGTTTGTTGATGAAGATCAAGGCTGGAGACATCACTGAAATATTTCTTAAATTCACTAGACTGATTAGGTTTCTGGCCTGTGTGAGTTGCAGACTGTCCTGCTCCAACCTGTCCGGGTGAATCACCTTGTTTGGGGAGCTGAGAACTCTTTATCATGGAGCCCTGACACCTGGTTAAGTCACTTGCAATCTGTTGCCAGATCCGCCAGCAGGAAAGCTCTTCAGGTGGTTCTGCTTCTATAACAGTCTTCATCTTACTTTGGATCTTTCCTCCTGTAAAGACAGAATGCAGAGATGTGGACAACTGAAGACTTTGTTCAGTGTTCTCAAGGTTTCACATTTAGAAGACATCATGAGACTTTAATGAATCCAGGGAATATTCTGTTGGTCTTTTCCACTGTGTATCTTATTCTCTGGTTTACATGTGAATGGAATCCAAGAGGGGGTCCAGTGGGCTCCTATCCGCTATGCAAGTATACACCAAGTCTCCTTTATTTATTTATTATTTATTATAAGATTTTATTTATTTATTAGAGAGAGAGAGAACAAACGGGGAGGAAGGGCAGAGGCAGAGGGAGAAGCAGGCTCCCTGCTAAGCAGGGAGCCCGATGCAGGGCTCAATCCCAGGACCCTGGGATCATGACCTGAACTGAAGGCAACCATTTAACTGACTGAGCCACCCACGCACCCCCCACACCAAGTCTCCTAAAAGAGGCACAAGTTAAATGCTAAAGACTTCATTCAAAAATTGATAATATAATTCAAATGTTAACCTATGGCCATTTCCACTGAATTTGAAAGTCAGTGTAGAATCTTGAATAGCAAATTATGTAGTTAATAAATTATGGAGACAGAAATGTTATATAATAAAATATGAATCAACTAGAACTTCAGGAAAAGCAATAACATAATCAAATTTTGGGTTCATGTTATATATCCTAATATCAAATACCCTGAAATATTTATATTTATATTTATATATTCAAAGTATTCCTGGAAATTCTGCACAACATGTTTACCTAATCTTATCTTTCTGTTTTGACAGACATTAAATGAGTTGGCTACTATTACAAATTTTTGACCACTTCTAATAATTTAAGTTCAGAAATGTGTTTTCTAAATTATCTCATTGGCATTCCCAAGTCTCTATATTTATACAAAGGTTATCTGAACATTTGGAGATTATTTTTTCAATAAACTTTTCAATTAGCTTAAGAAGTACTTTTCTTAAAACTCAACAATAAGAAAAAAAAGAACCTGGTTTAAAAATGAACCAAAGACCTTAATATACACCTTACTGAAGAAAATATACAAAGGGGCCAATAAGCATATGAAAAGATGCTCCACATCTTATGTAATCAGGGAAATGCAAATCCAAACACCGAGATACCCTACACACATACTAGAATGGCCAAAATCCAGAACACCAACACCATCAAATGCTGCCAAGATGTGGAGCAACCAGAACTGTCATTCATTGCTGGTGGGAATGCAAAATGGTACAGCCATTTTGAAGAGTTTGGTAGTTTCTTTCTTTCTTTAAGATTTTATTTATTTGAGAGAGAGAGAGAAAGAGAGAGTGAACACAGCAGGGGGAGGGACAGAGGGAGAAGCAGACTCGGTGCTGAGCAGGGAGCCCAACGCAGGGCTCGATCCCAGGACTCCAAGATCACAACCTGAGCCAAAGGCAGACACTTAACCAACTGAGCCACCCAAGTGCCCCGAGTTTGGTGGTTTCTTACAAAACTAAACATACTCTTACCATACCTTCCTGCTATTGCACAATTTGGTATTAACCAAAAGAAGTTGAAAAAAAAATTTTTTTTTTAATTTATCCATTCATGAGAGACAGAGAGACAGAGATGCAGAGGCAGAGGGAGAAGCAGGCTCCCCGTGGAGCAGGGAGCCCGATGCAGAAATCGATCCCAGGACTCTGGGATCATGACCTGAGCCGAAGGCAGAGACGCTTAACCGACTGAGCCACCCAGGCATCCCAGCAGTTGAAATTTTAAGCCCACACAAAAAACTATACACAGATTTTTATAGCAGGTGTATTCATAAGGACAAAACTTGGAAGGAACCAAGGTGTCCTCCAGGAGATGAACAGATAAATATTAACTGTGGTACATCCACACAATGGGATATTATTTGGTGCTAAAAACAAATGAGCTATTAAGGCATGAAAAGATATGGAGAAAATGTAATGCATATCCCTAAGCGAAAGAAGCCAAACTGAAAAGTACAATTCCAACTTTACAACATTCTTGAAAAGGCAAAAGTATGGACAGAGTAAAAAGATCAGTGGTTGCCAAGGGTTAGAGGGGAGGGATGAAGAGGTGGAGAATAGGATTTTTAGGGCAGTGTAACTACTCTATATGATATAATAATAGTGTGTACATGGCTTTATCCATTTGTCCAAGTCCATAAAACGTACAACACCAAGAATGAACCCTAATGTAGAGTAAAGACTCAGTGATAATGTGTCAATACAGGTTCATCAATTTTATCTGGCAGGGGATACTGATGTAAGATGCTGTGGGTACATGGGGACAGGTTTATATGGGAGATCTCTGTCTCTTTTTTGCTATGAACCTAAAACTGCTCTAAAAAAATAGTCTTTGAAAGCACTACTGAAAAAAATGTTTACAAAAGAGAAATTTGGGCCACGGGGGTGGCTCAGTCAGTTAAGCATCTGCTCAGCAGGAAGCCTGCTTCTCCCTCTCCCTGCTGCTCCCCTTGCTTGTGCACTCTTGAGCTCTCTCCCCCTCTCTCTGTCAAATAAATAAAATCTTTAAAAAAGAGAAAAATTCACTCCCCTACCTGTATGAATAGTCAATTAAAAGCTGCCCCCTCTTTCAATCCAGTAGACATGTGGTAAACAGCCTCTATATAACTATATAAGCCTTGGGTCACTTTATTGGAAAGTTACTTCAGTGTCGAGGTATCCTGAATGTCTAGAATGACTTGCGGGTTTGGGAGCAAATACCCAAAGCACGTGAACTAAAATAAGCATAAAGCAGAGAGTGGAACTTAAGTTTCTACAGGCAAGTTTCCTTCATGAGGACAAAAGGGAAATAAAGTTGAACAGAAAATATACATGGCTCTAAAACCTGACAGAAATTCAGATCTCCAGGAAAGATGTGAAAACAACAGAAATGGAGCCTGGGAGAAGGAAAAGGTAAGGTTACGGTATGAACTCTGAAAGCCAATCCTAGAGTGGGAGTTCAATCCTGCCAGGAACTCTTCCCAGACAGATGCATGGATGGTTCCTAATGATTTTTAGGTCTCTGCTCAAAGTGAGCCCAGCAATAAGCCCCTTTACCGCCCAGTGTAAAATAATCAATCCTGCCCTCACCCAGTTCACCTCCGGTGACTCCCATCCCTCCTTTTTTATGTTCCATGCAGCACCTTGCACTATGTAACACGCTAAGTCATCTGTTGTTCCCCGTGTCTTTCCCACCATGATGCAGCTTCAAGGAGGAAAACATGTCACACCTTGTAGGCTGAACACATTTTACACTTTCCTACCTTATAACCAATGTCCAGAATCGTGTCCGGAACATGGTGCATAGTCAACAAATACATGTTGAATGAATAAATGAATCCCAGTTTGACTGTTTTGGTGAGAGTTCAAGCCAAGTCCTAGAAGGAAAACATCTTTTCCAAGTAAGTTATTTGAAACAGAAAAGGGATAGAACACTGTCGTTTTGCTGGGAAGCTGAAAAGCTGTATAGGGGACATCAAGAACCAGAGGTACATGACGCAGGATGCTAATAAGAAAATCAAACGTGGGGGCGCCTGGGTGGCTCAGTCAGTTTGGCATCTGCTTTCGGCTCAGGTCATGATCTCAGGGTGCTGGGATTGGCCCCACGTCAGGCTCTCCGCTCAGCGGGAGTCAGCTTCTCCCTCTCTGTGCTCTCTCTCAAGTAAAAAAAATAAAAGAGAAAATCAAAGGTGGCAAGAATCCCTGGGATGAAAAGAAAGGAGGGACCATCACTGGTTCCTTCTGAAGCTTTAGGACTGTCTATCTGATAAAAGAGTGTAGAAAAACAGTGCATATACAAATGTGTGGATAAAATAGCCCATCACAACAATTTTTCAAATTAAAAAGCTCTAATACTCCAGGGAGCTGGAAATATTTAAAAGCATGTAATAAGCTTTCAGAAAAAAGAACCACGGGGCGCCTGGGTGGCTCAGTCCTTAAGCGTCTGCCTTTGGCTCGGGTCATGATCCCAGGGTCCTGGGATCGAGCCCCGCATCAGGCTCCCTGCTCCGCGGGAAGCCTGCTTCTCCCTTTCCCACTCCCCCTGCTTGTGTTCCCTCTCTAGCTGTCTCTCTCTCTCTGTCAAATAAAGAAAGAAAAGAAAAGAACCAGGACAGAAACTATCAAAGCATCACAGCCAACAGGACAGGGGTCATTACATAAAATGCCTATGAAAGTCACAGATGTGAACTGACACGTGAAATGTTTGTTCTGATTATAATAAAAGATCCAGTTCTTACCATGGCTCATGCTCAAAAAAGCTTGAAAACTTTGGTTGTAGAAGTTCCCCAGTTCTTAATTAAACAAATTGTTCAAATGGAAAGATAAGTTGCAAGAACAGAATCTTGGAAAAAAATTACTTAGGTGAGTATGTACGTTTTTGGTAGGTAATGTAGTTCATGGTTATATTTAACAAACTGACCCTTAGAAAGAGTAGTTGTGTGGGGTGCCTGTGTGGTTCAGGCAGTTGAGCAGTCGGTTCTTGGTTTCGGCTCAGGTCATGATCTTAGGGTTGTGAGATCAAGCCCCGCGTCAGGTTCTGTGCTTGGCAGGGAGTCTGCTTGAGGATTCTCTCTCTCTCCCTCTGCCCCTCCCACCACTTGCACACATGCTCTCTCTCTCAAATAAATAAATCTAAAAAAAAAGAGTAGCTGTGTGAGGGGAACAGGGAGTACCTCTGAGGATGTGACAGTAAGTTTCCTGATTCTCTCTAGGTTAGAATGTTCACTAGTTGAAAAACACCCAATCTTCATTAAAAATCAAGGGAAAACCGTATGACATCTATATTCTTTAACATTTGTTTAATGGCTAAATTTGTAGAAAATAAAAAGCACGATGTATTTTTGAACCAGATATAGAGGCAGCACTCACGTATGTGTCTCCTATTACTCTCACCTTAAATCTTCCCCCTCAAGCACAAGGAAGGGGAAACCAGCGGGCAGTAACATGGGTGGGGGCTTTGAAAGAGGCAAATGGGCTGCAGATGGCAAATCTTCAAGAGGAAGGCAGCTTACAACCTGGGTGACACTGTCTGACACTATAGGAAACAGATCTTTCTCCCTCTGTGGGGGGACCTAAGAATCAGAATCAGAATTCTCATCCCAAAGTATTCTTCCCAGAAATGAAAACGCCCCCTGATGGAAGATTCCAGGAAAGCCACAGGCAAAGGGCGCTCCTCAGTATGGTTACAACCACAATACTTCTAAGTTTCTCTGGGACATGGGTCAAGGGCACAGACCAACACACATTCATGCCAAGGGCACCCCAAGAAAGTGAGTGAAATAGAAAGTAACTGGATAGGCATTAATCAGAAGACAGACAATATCCTGCAACATCCTTCATTCACTCTGGTTGGCACATGACCTACAGCTATCTCCCTGGCCCATGGAGACACAGGGGTCCCCCATCTATTGACACATTCACCAAATCAACACATATTTCCAGACACCTGCCACATACCTGATGATTCTAGGCACTGAGGACAGAGCAATGAACAAAAGAGACACAATCCCTCACTTGTGGGGATCACACTCCAGGGGGGACAGAGAAGAGATGACCAAGCAAACAAAAACATATGAGGCACAACGTAAGGAGGAATGAGAGTAAAGGGAAGGTGATGTTTTACGTAAGTTGGTCAGAAAAGGCCTTTCTTGTGATATTGGAACTTAGCACAGACAGGAAGGATGGAAGGAAGGATGGATGGATGGAAGGATGAATGGACGGAAGGAAGGAAGGAAGGACGGATGGATGGACGGATGGATGGAAAGAAGGAAGGAAGGAAGGAAGGAAGGAAGGAAGGAAGGAAGGAAGGAAGGAAGGAGGTGGGGAGTGGAAGGAGGGATGGGAGGCAGGGGACAAAGGATTTCAGGTAAAAGAGTATGTCGGCCAGAGAGTAAGGGCTCTGAGGCAGAGGATATGTAGTAGGCAGATTAACTGGCTCCTGAAGAATCCATGTCCTGATTTTTGAAGCCCAGAATATGTGACATGACACAGCAAAGGGGAATTAAGGTTGCAGATGGAATTAAGGCTGCTAATTAGCTGACTTTAAAACGGAAGAGTATCCTCTATTTTCTGGGTGGGCTCAAAGCAATGGAAAGGATCCTTCGAGATGGAAGAAGAGCGTAGGAAGGCAATGTGACTGCAGAAGAACGGACAGGGAAAGCAAGGCTGCTGGCAGTGAAGATGGAGGAAAGGGGCCACAAGCTTAAAAACCTGGGGTAACTTCTAGAAGCTGAAAAAGCAAAGACACAGATTCTCTCCTAGAGAATTTCCAAAAAGAAAGGCATCTGTGCAGACACTTTGACTGTAGCCCGTAAGAACCATGTCACACCTGGGACCCGGGGAACAGTGCGGCAGTCCACCTGTGTCGTTCTAAGCCGTGAAGTGTGTGGCAACCTGTTACAGCGGCAGTGGGCACTACAGCGTCCCCGGCCAGGCTAAGAAACACGGGGGGCGCTATGTGAGTGGAGGGGGCGGAGCAAGAGGAAGCGAAGAGGGGATGTGGGAGAGAGGAGCACACCATGGAGGACTCTAGAAGCCACCTGAAGAGGTTTTAGCTCCGGAAACCTGGGTGGCTCAGTCGGTTAAGCGTCTGCCTTCGGCTCAGGTCATGATCCCAGGGTCCTGGGATCGAGCCCCGCATCCGGCTCCCTGCTCAGAGGGGAGTCTGTTTCTCCCTCTCCCTCTGCCTCTCCCCGCTGCTTGCACTCTTTCTTTCTCTCTCAAATAAATAAATAAACTCTTAAAAAAATAAAAAATAAAGAGGCTTTAACTCAAAGAAAAATAAACCGTAGACAGTTTTGAGCAGAGGAATGGCGCCCTGACTTGGACTTCCTAAGGATCACACTGGCTGCTACATGGAGAACAGACAATACAAGGGAAGGTGTGGAAATGGGTGCGCCATACAAAGACGGCTGAAACGATTCAAGATGGGGTCTGGCCATTTGGACCAGGTGAGATGGCAAAGGGGGGGAAAGAAGTAAGACACATGGAAGAACACCGGCAAGGACTCCCATCTGCTTTGTTCTTAACCTGATCTCTCTTCTCTGTCGGTTGCTAGCATCACCCAAAGCTTTTTTGCTCTCTCTAAGCGGAATATATCATGTCTAAAGGGGTGCTGCATTGTGAACAGGCGAAGTCACATATTTAAAATGAACACACAAGGGCGCCTGGGTGGCTCACTTGGTTAAGTGTCTGCCTTCGGTTCAGGTCATGATCCTGGGATCCTGGGATCAAGCCTCCCATCGGGCTCCCCACTTAGCAGAGTCTGCTTCTCCCTCTCCCTCTGCCCCTCCTCCCCTCTCAAGCCCTCTCTCTCTCAAATAAATAAAAATCTTTTTAAAAAATTAAAAAATAAAATGAACACACAAAAGGTACAAATGGGTATTTGGATTCCTACACATACCGGTCAATTAATCAAAATCAGCGTTTTTCAAACATTTAAAAAAATATGACCTATTTCAAGACCCAGACGTATATGCGTGACAGAAACCTATTTCTAACCAATGTCTATCACACAATTGGCAGGAGATTTTTGCTGTAATGTATTCATTACTGCTAACTGAGATTTTCAAACTGAGATTTTCAAACCGAGATAACAAACTGAGATTTTCTACTTTATTAAAAAAACTACTGGTACACCATCAACGCAGGTAACCATTTCAAGAGCCCCGAAGCCTTGAACACCCAAGGACACAGAGCCAATCCAGGAAGCAGATATTGAGGCATATAGTGCCTGTGCTCACCCACAGAAATCAGATTCCTGAAGTTCTCCAGCATCACGTCTCCGTACAGCTTCCTCTGGGCAGGGTCCAGCAGCCCCAGCTCCTCCTCCGTGAAGACCACCGCCACGTCCTTGAACGTCACCGTCTCCTATAACAAGCACAGGCAACCTCAATCTTGCACCGGGTGACTGCTGGGAGTGGGGCAGCATTGAGGAGGTGGAAAGGGTGGTGGGAAGTGGTTTCAGAGTTTGAGGGACTCAAGTCCATCGGCAGGCTTCCAGGCCCTTCTCCTCCTACCTTGCCAATGCCACACACTGAAGTTCCCTCAAGGATTAGACAAGGGAATACCTATAGCCTTTGGAACAGGACATGGCACAGTGTCGGTGCCTAACAAACATCTGATATCAATCGTATTATTTCTTCATGTTGCCAACATCAGTACCTTTTTCATCACATTTTGTGGCTCTGTGTTATCCCAGAGAACAGATCCTCTATCCTTACCTGTTCTGAACAAATGATATTTAATTTTACATATTTTTCTCATTATAACCCATCCTGAAGTACGTCATTTTACGTAGATCTTGTTGCCCTGCCTGAAGACTTGAAAATAATTGCTAGAGAAGATTAAAAGGTCAAAAATGGGCACATTTAAAATTATGATCATATGAGGATAGATTTTCTTCCCAATCTTTTTCCTACTTCCCTAATCTTTCAAGGGAATATGACAACCTGGGTTCTCCATACAATGGCCAGGAGCAGGTTATATGTTTTTCTATGGTTTTGGCAATCTGATTTGGAAGAACAAGTTGTATTAGTATTCCCATTTATTTGATTGTAAATTAACAGAACTACCTTTTCAGAGGCGCCTGGGTGGCTCAATTGGTTAAGCCTCTGCCTTCAGCTCAGGTCATGATCCCGGAGTCCCGGGATCGAGCCCCGCACTGGGCCCCCTGCTCAGCGGGGAGCCTGCTTCTCCCTCTGCTTCTGCTGCTCCCCCTGCTTGTGCTTGCTCTCTCTGCCAAATAAATAAAATCTTAAAAAAAAAAAAAAAAGAAGAATAGCGCTCTAGACACACACGCCACAGGGCCCAGGGCCCGAAATGAACTCTGTCTTCCTGTCTACCTCTTTCACTCGAGCAGAATGCCTCACATTCCTGCCCTTGGTTTCTTGTGTGAATCTGAGCGGGTCTCTCATATTCACATGTTTAAGATGAAGATAAGGCCGACACCTCCTCCCTCAGCTGCTCTGAGGAGCCAAGGCACAGAATGCAAGTCACTGGCCGATACTAGGACCGAGGAACGGGGAAGACGGAATCCAGCTCTCCCTGAGCACAAGCCTCCAGCAAGATCTGTGTGAAGCAGCTCTTCCAGCCTGCTCTGCCTGCAGTTAGATATTCCACCTAAAAAACAGCCTACCTGGCACATATCAAATGTGAGGACAAAAAGCTAGCAGACTGTTTTCAGAGCTGATGTGGGGGGACAAGGTTTTATGTCAGAAAGTGGTCACCAAAGTGCTGCTTGAGACAATAAAATCCCCTAAACCGTGGACATGTCTATGAATGGAAAGGAGTTAAAGATAGAAAGATAGATCGATTCAATGGGAATGGGATGCAACCGTAAAAAATGAACATTATTTAACATTAAAGGGAAAAAAAAAATCAGAATTTAAAATTAGGTGTATATTATGAATACAAATTCGGTTATGCATGCCCACAAGAGTAAGAGTAGGAGAAAATCGAAACAGCTCATTTGTCAGTCAGGAAGTAACGAAGTGGGAGAATTGCTCATTTCTAGTCATTTTTTTACTCCGTAAGATAAATAATAATAAAACAAAAACCAAAAATACGTGCAGAGTAAATTCAAAGGGGACAAAGTAAGACCCTGATGCAAAATAGGTCCTCAAATGCCTGTTGCTCTGCTTGAGTCGTCCCCAGAAAAATGTGTGACGACCTGAGGAATGAGATGGAATTTAGAAAGTGAGAAAGGCAAGCCCTCCTCACCTTGAACATGGTCCTGTGTCCTCCTACTTCCGGGCGTGTGTAGAGTCCTGAGTTGCACAGGTAAGAGGAAGGTGGAGCTGCACCTGGCGGGGTGCCTAGGAAGGCAGAAAAAAAGGCTTTAAAGGTAGCCCAGGCTGCTGCTCACCTACAGGGACGATGACTGTGAATCCGTACATGATCCGTACACGAATGTTCACAGCACCGTTATTTGTTAATAACCCTCGTACTGGAAACCACCAAGATGTCGACCTATGACCTATGCAGGAATGAACAAATTGTGGCAAATCCATATAATGGAATATTATTGGCCAATTAAAAGGAAGGAGTACTGATCACGCTACAGCATGGATGAACCTTGTAAACACTGCTGAAAGACACCAGTCACAAAAGATCAGATACTGCAGGATTCTTTTTCTATGAAATGTCCAGAAGAGGGAAATCTATGGAGACAGAAAGCAGGTTAGTGGTCGCTGGGGTATTAGGGGAGAAAATGGGGCGTTAACTGAAAATAGGCATGAGGAATCCAACTGGGGAAACAAAAATGGTCTAAACTGAATTATAGCAATTGCTGCACCACTCAGCAAAGTTACTAAAAATCAATGATTTCATGGGGTGCACCTGGGTGGCTCAGTTGGTTAAGTGCCTGCCTTCAGCTCAGGTCATGATCCCAGGGTCCTGGGATCAAGCCCCACATTGGGCTCCCTGCTCTGCGGGGAGTCTGCTTCTCCCTCTCCCTCTTCCCCACCCCAACTCACTCTCTCTCTCTCTCAAATAAATAAATTAAAAAAAATCCTCTCTCTCAAATAAATAAATCTTTAAGAATGCCCACTAACAAGTGTATCTTCCCATAAGAAGACTTTATTAATTCTGATGAAAAAAAAAGTAGTAACTTTACAATGGAGAAACCTAATAGAAATCACCTTAGCTAGTCAACAAAGGTGAGTTCACCAAAACATTGACAAACCAACATCCTTCGGCTACTGTTACGTTGCAATGACAAGGATGCCTCAGTGCTTCTGCGGAATCCCTGCCAACGACACAGAACAAAACCTAAACGTGTATACATCAGATAAACCCCAAATGAAGAACTTTCTCCAAAATGATTTCCCTCTATACTCTTTAAAAAGCATCAAGAACCGGCTCCTGGGTGGGTGAGTTGATTGGGTGTCCGACTATTGATTTCGGCTCAGGTCATGATCTCAGGGTCATGGGACTGAGCCCTTCTCAGGCTCCACACTGAGCACAGAGTCGGCTTGAGATTCTCTCTCTCCCTCTTCCTCTGCCCCTTCCCCCACTTGCATTCTCCCTCTCTCTAAATAAATAAAATCTACAGAATAATAAATAAACAAATATTGCTTCAGGAACAAGGGCACCTGGCTCAGTCAGTACAGCATGCAACCCTTGATCTTGGGGTCACGAGTTCAAGGCCCCACACTGGGCATAGAGCTTACATGGAAAAATAAAAAGTTAAAAAAGAAAAGCATCAATGAAAAAGACAAAGGATATGGAATGCAATCCACGTTAAGGAACATCAAGTGTGATGAAGTTTTTGTAAAATGTTTATAAACAAATATACAGCTTAAGGCAAAGCATAAAATTGGGACTTTGAACTCGGATGGGGGAGGGGAGAGTGGTTATAAGGCCTTTAAATGAAAAACAGAACAAAATTAACAGGACTGTGGATTACATAACAGGATATTATATAATGTTTTCCAGCATTATCTAACAGGTAACACTATTAACTACTATTAGTAATAACTTACTAGATAGCTAACATCTAATTGATAACTAATAGATACTATTATGTAGTATAATATCTAATATTACCAACTAACTGGTGCTAAATTTCTACAATCAGCCTCTCCTAAATCCCTCTTCCCAGGATACCTCCTAATACCTATATGTGGGACTTCCTTCCTTCAGAAAGCTAAAATAAGCTGTCATTGAATTACAGGTATATTCCTGGTGTTATGTGGCTGACGGAGCCATAAAACAGGCAAAATGTAAACAATTGGGGAATTTGGTAAAGATTATATGAGAATTCCTTAAACTATTTTTGCAACTTTTCAATGGAAAAATTTTAATTATATAAAAATAAAGTCTTGGGGCATCTGGGTGGCTTAGTCGTTAAGCGTCTGCCTTCGGCTCAGGTCATGATCCCAGGGTGCTGGGATTGAGCCCCGCATCGGGCTCCCTGCTCTGCGGGGAGCCTGCTTCTCCCTCTCCCACTCCCCCTGCTTGTGTTCCCTCTCTCGCTGTGTCTTTCTCTGTCAAATAAATAAATAAAATCTTAAAAAATAAAAATTAAAATATAAATAAAAAATAAATAAAGTCTTAAAATATCAGGAACAGTCGTAACAGTAATAATGGGAATAATAAAGATAATCAGGAAACTTTATGGAAGCTCATTAGTTTATTCTTTCTTGGCAGTGTTTAAAAGTTTCCATAGTTATGGGGTACCTGGCTGGCTCAGTCAGTGGAGCATGCAACTCTTCATCTTGGGGTTTTAAATTTGAGCCCCTCATTGGGTAGAGATTACTTAAAGATAAAATCTTAAAGGGTGCCTGGGTGGCTCAGTCAGTTAAGTGACAGACTCTTGATTCAGGCTCCGGTCATGATCTCAGGGTCCTGGGATCAAGCCCTGCATCAGGCTCCACGCTCAGCAGGGAGTCTGCTTAAGATTCTCTCCTTCTCCCTCTGCCCCATCCCCTGCATGAGCATGTGCACTCTCATGCGCTCTCTCTCTCTCTACTCCCCCAATAAATAATCTTTTTTTAAAAATGAAGAGGGTGGGGGGATGGGGTAACTGGGTGATGGGTATTAAGGAGGGCACATATTGGGATGAGCACTGGGGGTTATATGCAACTCATGAATTGTTGAACACTACAACAAAAACTTATGATGTACTGTACGCTGGCTAACTGAACATAATAAAAAATAAAAAAATAAAAATAAATTATAATAAAAAATTAAGAATAAAATAAAATCTTAAAAAAAAATTTTCCAAAAGTGCTCAGTATCGTTCGGCATCAGGGAAATCCAAATCAAAACCTCAATGAGATACCACCTCACACCAGTCAGAATGGCTAAAATTAACAAGTCAGGAAATGACAGATGTTGGCAGGGATGCGGAGAAAGGGGAACCCTCCTACACTGTTGGTGGGAATGCAAGCTGGTGCAGCCACTCTGGAAAACAGTATGGAGGTTCCTCAAAAAGTTGAAAATAGAGCTACCATACGATCCAGCAATTGCACTACTGGGTATTTACCCCAAAGATACAAAAGTAGGGATCCGAAAGGGTACGTGCACCCCAATGTTTATAGCAGCAATGTCCACAATAGCCAAACTGTGGAAAGACCAAGATGTCCATCGACAGATGAATGGATAAAGAAGATGTGGTATAGGGGTGCCTGGGTGGCTCAGATGGTTAAGCGTCTGCCTTCGGCTCAGGTCATGATCCCAGACTCCTGGGATCGAGTCCCGCATCGGGCTCCCTGCTCAGCGGGGAGCCTGCTTCTCCCTCTGCCTCTCAATCCCTCTGTCTCTTATGAATAAATAAATAAAATCTTTAAAAAAAAAAAAAAAGAAGATGTGGTATATATATACAATGGAATATTATGCAGCCATCAAAAGGAATGAGATCTTGCCATTTGCAACAACGTGGATGGAACTGGAGGGTATTATGCTGAGTGAAATAAGTCAAACAGAGAAAGACATGTATCATATGACCTCACTGATATGAGGAATTCTTAATCTCAGGAAACAAACTGAGGGTTGTTGGAGTGGGGGGTGGGGTGGGAGGGATGGGGTGACTGGGTGATGGACACTGGGGAGGGTATGTGCTCTGGTAAGCGCTGTGAATTGTGCAAGACTGTTGAGTCTCAGATCTGTACCTCTGAAACAAATAATGCAATATATGTTAAGAAAAAAAAAAAAAGAAGAAGAAGAAGAAGGTAGCAGGAAGGTAAGAATGAAGGGGGGGAAATCGGAGGGGTAGACGAACCATGAGAGACGATGGACTCTGAAAAACAAACTGAGGGTTCTAGAGGGGAGGGGGGTGGGAGGATGGGTTAGCCTGGTGATGGGTATTGAGGAGGGCACGTTCTGCATGGAGCACTGGGTGTTATGCACAAACAATGAATCATGGAACACTTCATCTAGAACTAATGATGTAATGTATGGGGATTAACAGAACAATAAAAAAAATTTTTTTTTAATTTTCCATAGTTAAAATACACCAGGGGACAGACACAAAAAAATATATGATAATTTCGTAAAATATTTATAAACAAACATACAAATATACACAAAGAACCACCAAACAGAAATGCATTAAAAGCTTCACAGTTGCTATCTTTACGTTGTGGATTAATGGATAATTTAAAAATGTTTTCCCCTCATATTTCTGCATTTTCTGAATTTTCCATCATGGTTCTATAAGAATAAAACATATTAGTAATAAGTGAAACAGAAGAGTTGACAATGTTTGAAAAAACTCAGAAAAGTCAAAGCCCATTAGCCTTGCTTTTCAGGTCCTCCAGAATGAAGTGCTAACTACCCGGGGTCTGGTTCCTGCTAGTTCCTATGGCTTAAGGAGAACATATCCAAGAGATTAGGAACTCGCGTTCTGGACTCAGACTGCTTTCATCCCAACCCCAGCTCAGCCTCTTTACTAGGTGGGGGCTATGGGCAAATCATTTATGCTCCGTGGGCCTCAATCTCATTTTATAGAATAGAAAAGGAAAGCAGAATTTCTTCACAGAGCTATGGTGTGGCACCATGTATTTATTTGTATAAAACCGTCATTGGTGAGGTCGGCAATTAAGGATTCATTATTATTAATGCTCATGCCTGATTACACATCCTATACATTATCCGACTAATGTGAACACTGCTATAAAAGAAAAATGCCAAATCCTACTCACGTGGAACCTTGCTGTCAGTAGCCAAGGTGTCACTCCTTCCACCTCTGTGCAGCCCTTTGAGAGAAGTCAGGCTGGGGAAAGAAAAGAATGTTATGAAATGCCATGATTGTGTTGCCCTTCTCAATAAAAGTTAAAACCTCCCCTCCCCTCCGTGCAATCTGGAAGCAACCCTTGTCAACAACTAGAGCCCAAGACCTGATGTTTACTGCCCACCTGCTTGTACTCATTAACCTTTGTCTTAACATTTTTCCTTAAGCTCTTCTTTCTAGCTTACCTTGGGAGAGGGAGAAGCAGGCTTCCCGTGGAGCAGGGAGCCCGATGCTGGGCTTCATCCCAGGACCCTGGTATCAAATGACCCCTCTAGCTTACCTCTTAACTCAGGCAAGTGAAACCCAAAACCACGCCTTGGGTGATGACAACTGCCAAGACCTGCCCCAGGCCCAGACCACCCAGACCTTTGGAATCCGACTCATGCTTGCACAGAAGAACCATGGAGTGACTTCTGGAATGACCTATTTCCTTTGCTTCATTATAATACTAAAATCTCTGCCCAAGGTGGGGGGAGGTAGGGAGGGCTCAGCCTCATTTACATAACATACAATGTATGTATAGCCATGTTTCCTTAAGCCGCATGCTCAACCTTATGCCCGCCTCTACACAGAATGACAAGCCTTCCCTATCTAAAACTCCTTCCTAACTCTAAACAAAAGGAACCCATTCACCCTCTTTTGGGGGGTCACTGCTTTGGAAGCCATTCCCTGTGATCTCTTTATTTGCTGCAAATAAGGTTCCTTTGTGCAACGACTCAACCTGGTAGTTTCTGACCTCCCAAGGAGGGAACTCACGTTGGTTCTGTTACACCCTCGCCTTCCTAAAAGAGAGATTATAAGGGGTCTGGGATTGCCCAGCATCGTGCAGGAATGAGAGAAGAGAGAAGGTTCTGCCGTGGGATGGATATCTGACCCTGACCCAGGGACCTGACTGCTTCTCAGAAAATTAATACTAAGAAAGGTCACCATTCACCATGTGCCAGAACCCGTTTTGAGATTTTTATTTGTATCACTATAACTGACACGCACCTGGCTCTGGGATTCCCAAACAGACCACACTCGGCCTCTTGCCCCTGACAAAATCCACAGGCAGAGAAACGAGTGGTGGTGAAATAAGAAAGGAAATTTATGTCAGTGAGGCCGACACCATAAAGACTACAGACAAACAGCTCAAAGACTGTCTTCAGGGTTCTGAAAATACTTCCAGGTTCATACAAGGAAAATGTGGGGCAATGGCAAGTGCGCAGTGAAGGGCAAATGATCACTGCCTCAATCACGGGTGGGGCCCTGCTGGCTAAGCGCAGTCCTTATTGCATGAGGGGGTAGTTTGGGTTCCCACCGGCGGATGCTTTGCCCTCGGGGGTCTTCCACCCGAGCCAAGAGACAAGCTGGAAAGAAGCCAACGAGAAAGTTTGGGGTCAAAATGGAGGCAGCTTTCACCACCTCTTTCAATTCCCCAGCACCAGGAAGCAGAAGCACCCGTGGGTGTAGGGAGGCAGACACTGGGCGAGCTGAGACACGCAGAAACTCTCAAACCAGGCCATAGGTGACCCCACCCCACCCCAGGACTCGCAAACCACCCTGAGCGCAGAGACTCCCCCTGAGATGCACACCACTGCCCTCCAGCTCCTTACCTGCGTACCCTACCCAGGCTTCTTTCCCCCTAAATCGCCCGGTCGCCGCAGGTTCCAAGCACAGACCCAGGAAGTTTGAAGCGCCGGGAGAGGCGGAACTGACGCACCTCTCCCAAAGAAAATTCAGTAGCAACCTCACGCTCCCCCAACGGAAGTGCCCGCGAGACCGCGGGGCTCCTGGACTACACTTCCCAGAAAGCACCAGAACCGCCTTCCTGAGCGGAAGTGCACGCCACCACACAGAGCGTCTGGACTGCACCTCCCAGAATGCACCAGACTTACCTTCCTGAGCGGAAGTGCACGCCACCACACAGAGCGTCTGGACTGCACCTCCCAGAATGCATCAGCTCTATCTTCCGGAGCGGAAGTGCTCGCCACCACACAGAGCGTCTGGACTACACCTCCCAGAAGGCTGAAGGCAGAACGTTCTTGGTCTCACTCTCCAAAACAAGTGTTGCGGCTACTGGGAGGTCCTTGTCTATACTTCCCCAAATGCCAGAACGGAAGGAATCACATAGTCCCGACTTCTTGGGTGGTCGTACGGGTTTCTACATTAAGAGTCTGCGTTACCTCTGCCTGAGTCCTCAGCGAAATTATTCCATGGATACAACTTCCTGAATTCGAAATGCCTCCCAATTGTGACAGGAGTATTGTTGGAAAGGCAACGGGTGAGGAGATAAAATCTTCAGGAAATTAACGGGAAATGATCGCTTAGGCGACACTAGATGATTGAAAGGAGGATGATGTTTAGTCATAATCTGACGATATGAGGCCAAAACAGAGTTTAAAGAATGGGTGGTGTCGAATGATTTGGGAGCGAGGAAGTTACCCGTCCCTACTCCAGACCCTGATGGACCACAAGTTTAGTAGGAAAAACAACTTAAAAGGGCCAAAGTGGAAGCTTGTCCTCATGGAAAATCGCTCTTCCCTCACTTAAACTTTTCATTAAAATTATCCCTGCTTCGGAGGTGAAAACGTCAAGTTTCAGTGAAGTTACCAAATTGTCCACTCTCTCAAAGCAAGCAAGACTGCTGGAGAGCTTGACATCGGAGTTACTCTGATTCCCAAAGCCTGTGATTTAATGCCAAAGCACTGAGGAGGATTCTGTAGGTGAGGGAGCATGTTCTAGTATTAAGAGTTTCTTCCCTTATATTTTCTGGTTAAAATTCTTTATTATAATTATTAAACAGGTATGTTACTGAAAACTAAAAATAGTATGAAGTAAGTAAGAAAAAAATGCGCCTAGAATCTTTCCCCCTGAAGATAAAAAATGTCCCAAATAAAAGTTTGTCTCTACATAAACTTACATATACCTATCAACATACATATTTGATTTTTAAAAATGAAGTCTCGTGTTCTCTATCCATTTTTCTTTTTTTTTTAAAGATTTTATTTATTTATTTGAGAGAATGAGAGAGAGAGAGCACACATGAGAGGGGAGAGGGTCAGAGGGAGAAGCAGACTCCCCGCTGGGGGACTCGATCCCGGGACTCCAGGATCATGACCTGAGCCGAAGGCAGTCGCTCAACCAACTGAGCCACCCAGGCACCCAAAACAAATGACAAATGAAAACTAAAAATAGTATGAAGTAAATAAGAAAAAAATGTGCCTAGAATCTTTCCCCCTGAAGATAAAAAATGTCCCAAATAAAAGTTTGTCTCTACATAAACTTACATATACCTATCAACATACATATTTGATTTTTAAAAATGAAGTCTCATGTTCTCTATCCATTTTTCTAAACTCGGTATAAGCTGAACATTTTCTTGTATCAGTCACTGAAAATCTAACTCTTCCCACATGATGGCTGTATGATGTTGCATTGAGTGAATTGAGAATGAAAAACAGCCCCTGACATCTGGTGAAACAATATTACATACTGGACATTGATTTAGAGCATTTACAGCATCTGGGAGGATGGTGTGCAGCCCCGCAGGTTACTGCCACCTAATTAGCCGTATAACTGAGCCTTCAAGTGTCATTTCGCCATATCATGAAGCCAATTACTGCAGGATGATAGGGAAAATAGAAAGTGGCAGAGCAGCTTACCTGGCTGCCGAGACCTATTGCAGAAGCTTCTCTTGTTCTGGGCCCAGTCAAAAAGTTTTCAGGGCATTCATAAAAGGCAAAGTGGCACACCCTGATTAGGACTATATTACCTCTAAAATCCAAAGAGGCTCACTAGATATTGTAACTCATTTTTGTGGGAAGATACAACACATTCTTTTTTTTTTTTAAGACTTTATTTATTTATTTGACAGAGAGAGAGAGAAGTAGAGGGAGAGAGAGAAGCAGATTCCCCGCTGAGCAGGGATCCCGATGCGGGGCTCGATCCCAGGACCCCGAGATCATGACCTGAGCAGAAGGCAGACGCTCAACCGACTGAGCCACCCAGGCACCCCAACACATTCTTCACCTAGAAGGACAGCTCAACATACAACACTGAAAGCCTGGAAATTTTACTTGAGGTGCAAGACCCCTGAATGTTTCTGGCATTTATTCCCACCTTCTGATATGCAAGTCAATACATGTAAGGTAGTTCCTACCTTTTGCTCACCAGATCCAATCAGCAAAATATCATCAGTGTGCCAATTGAGAGCAGCAAGGATTCAGTCACTGCAAAAAAAAAGTTTGATTATTTCCTCTCAGTGCATAGTCACACAGGTACAATAGTCATAGGTCCCTTTGGGGAACTCTGGAGAAAAGATTAACAGCCCACATTTTTGCAGTATAGAAGCTTCCATCCTCAAGAGGACCTGGCCTCTCCTTCACCCAAAGGATTCTGGGTTTGTAAACTGGCCATGTCTTAGAATTGATTTAGGGGGCGCCTGGGTGGCTCAGTTGTTAAGCGTCTGCCTTCAGCTCAGGTCATGATCCCAGGGTCCTGGGATCGAGCCCCACATCGGGCTCCCTGCTCGGCGGGAAGCCTGCTTCTCCCTCCCCCACTCCCCTGCTTGTGTTCCCTCTCTTGCCGTGTCTCTCTCTGTCAAATAAATAAATAAAATCTTTAAAAAAAAAAAAAAAGAATTGATTTAGGAGCTGTGATTCTCTGTTTTGATGATTCAAGTTAGGCTTCTGTTTACTTGACCTAAAACTCTGCCACCTATGTAGATCAAATAATAATTTAGTAGCTTGCCATCTTTTTATTCACTAGGGACACAAAGATCAACAAGGAAATGTAGAGTTATTCTTTTTTTTAAGATTTTATTTATTTATTTGACAGAGAGAGAGAGTACAAGTAGGTGGAGTGGCAGGCAGAGGAAGAGGGAGAAGCAGGCTCCCCACCGAGTGGGGATCCCGACGCGGGGCTCGATCCCAGGACCCTGGGATCATGACCTGAGCCGAAGGCAGACGCTTAACCGACTGAGCCACCCAGGCGCCCCAAATGTAGAGTTATTCCTAGAAAATATATTGTAAGCCCTAAGGAGTGATTGTGGAAGCAGCTGAAATGTCAGCAGCGTTCCTGTTCTTAGGCATTTGAACACAATGGTAGGAACAGGATCCCATGATCCCCAGGGGCAGGGCATAAGTTAGGAGCTATGAAAGAATGTAACCTTCAGTACCCCCCTTTCTGCTCCTGGCGATTGCTAGCCCGAACATCCTGCTCCTCCTTTATCCCATGACTGACGCCCTGTGTGCCTATGCATAGGGGAGAATGCAAGCCTGTTTTACGGCTTCAGGATATTCGCCATCCCTTTGTACTCCTTTCTCACGCTTCCAGGCATCTGTCCTTGCTTTTCTGATTAAATAAATAAACAAATAAATAAATAAATAAATAAATAATAAAAGCTACGTACAGGGTTCAGCTGTTGCTGCCCTCCCTTGCAGAAGCAGCCCTGCACGGCCACTCAGACTGGTGTCTGAGAACTTTATCTCAATGCGCGACAACAGGAAAGGTCAAGAAGCCAGTGCATAATGACTTGAACTCTCAAGTCATTAATACCTGAGCTGGAATTTGAAACCATGTGCTCTTTTTTTCCCCCACTTTCTCCAACATAGTTAGGAACAAACCCCCCTTATACTCCTTAGTTTGACCAATATGTTCTAAGGTCTTCAATAGTTATCTCCTTAGGAATATTGAATATGTATTTCATATATGTTTGCTGTCACACCATGGCAAATGCCCTATTTTGCATGGGAAATAGAGTCATTAGTGCCTTTAAATATAGTAAGATTCAAGAACAAATTCTCGAAAACACAATTCAGAAAATTTATTCTTAACATTCTGTTCCTCTAGAACCACTCTTGGAGCAAAAATCCTTTTTTTTTCATAAAGATTCAACCAAAGAAAAAGAATTAATTGAAGAGATTTATTCCAAGAAACTGACTTACTAGATTGTGGGGCTGGCTTGGCAAAGTCAAAATCCTTAGGACAGGGCGCCTGGGTGGCTCAGTTGGTTAAGCAACTCCCTTCGGCTCAGGTCATGATCCTGGAGTCCCTGGATCGAGTCCCACATCGGGCTCCCTGCTCAACAGGGAGTCTGCTTCTCCCTCTGCCCTCTTCCCTCTCGTGCTCTCTCTCATTCTCTCTCTCAAATAAATAAATAAAATCTTTAAAAAAAAAAAAATCCTTAGGACAGGACATCAGGAAGGCCAAAATGGACCTCTTGGCCACAAACTAAAGATGCTACCAACAGATAGAATAATGGTTTCTTACAGGGAAGTTTCAGCTCTGCTCTTAAGGACTTTCAACTTGTTAAATCAGGCCAACCCAAATTATCTGGGATACTACACCCTACTCAAAGTCAACTGATTCTGGACTTTAATCACATTTACAAAATACCTTCCTAACACTTAGTCTGTGACAGAATAACTGAGGACTGTAGTCTAGGCGAGTTGCATAGAATTGCACATAAAATTGACCACCACACAGATCTTCGTCAGCAGGAAACTGGTTAAGGAAAAATGATAGTTGGCACACCAGAATACTGTGTAGGCACTAGAAATGAGGTTGTAGGTTAATTTATTGACGTGAACTTCAAGAATTGTTTCAATTTAGTGAAAAACTCTAATTAGAAAATAGTATGCATTAGGTGCTAAGTTTGTAAAATTCTATACAACTCTTACTTGTATACATAGATATACTGAAGCATGCTCATCAAAATATTAATAGTGGTGAGTTCCTACTACTTCCCACTTTCTTCTTTTGATTTTCCTATATTGATGTACTTCTTTTCAATGTCCAGGCATTATTCTTTTTTTTTTTTAAGATTTTATTTATTTATTTGAGAGAGAGAATGAGACAGAGAGAGAGAGCACGAGATGGGGGAGGGTCAGAGGGAGAAGCAGACTCCCCGCTGAGCAGGGAGCCCGATGCGGGACTCGATCCCGGGACTCCAGGATCATGACCTGAGCCGAAGGCAGTCGCTTAACCAGCTGAGCCACCCAGGCGCCCCTCCAGGCATTATTCTTGTCAGTAAAAAAATATGAAAGTATTTATACTTTAAACAAATCTCTCAAGAATTAAATATTTGTATTAAGACATAGCATATGTAACAAAATGTCAATCTCCAGATGAATAGGCAGAGGTTCTGAGATTGATAACTTTAGAATTAGTCACAGTGTGTCAAATAAACAGGAGATACCGTGGTACTGCACTCAGATCTTTAAATGGATATCCTACCAATATGGTTAGATGTTAATGACTTGGGAAGCTTCTCCTTTTCAAACACAGAGAAAGGATGATGACCTCAAACAATCCCCATCAAAGGTAGGTAAGTTCAAAGCTAAGATGGGGAAACATGGTGACAAGTGGGAGCTGAAACTGGATGATCTCACAAAAGCTCTGGAACTAGATACAGATCTAAAAATTTACTACTGAGGGTGGTTGGGAGTCTAGGCCTCCCATGTTGGGAGACATGAACATGAACACAATGCAGCCAGTCTCAGGTGTTGTCACTACCTGTGACCACCTTGAGGACCCTTGCTATGCAGCTTAGGTGTATGCCATACCTGTCGTCTTTTCAGTTTTAGAAGTTAGGTACTTTTGGCTTAATCTGGTGAGATTTGTTACAAATAATTGCTTTGGTGATGATTTATCCAGTATTTGGTGACAGTTTAAAAGGAAAAAAAATTATAGGCCCTAGATTTCTGTACACCACGTAGGCAGGAAAGTTTATATAGCAATTCTGAGACCGTGATCCTTAGAAAGGCCTGCTTGCAAGCCTGGACTTTGGCTGGTGTCAGGGAACATGGATTTGGGAAGACTACTCCGTCTCATTTCTGGTAAGAGCTGTTCACTGTGCCTAAACTGTTATGATGTGGTTTATTCTGAATACCTGCTTTTCCTATTGAAGGCTTGGATTTTGTTACATGCTAAGTAGATGGTGCCTACATGACCAGCCCTTAGTAAGAACCCTGGGTACTGGTCTCTAATGAAGTCTTTTTGTAGGCATTTCACACGTGTGGCCACAATTCAATGCTGGAGTTGAGTGAGTCCTGATACCGTGGGAAGAGGGCTTTTAGAAGCTCACACCTGGAGGCACCTGGGTGGCTCAGATGGTTAAGCGTCTGCCTTCGGCTCAGGCCATGATCCCGGGGTCCTGGGATCGAGTCCCGCATTGGGCTCCCTGCTGGGCGGGGAGCCTGCTTCTCTCCCTCTGCCTCTGCCTCTCTCTCTGACTTTCATGAATAAATAAAAAACAAAATTTAAAAAAATAAAAAAAATAATAATTAAAAAAAAAAGAAGCTCACGCCTGGTTTCCTTTCACTCATATGTGGACAATAAGGAATAGAGCACAGGATCATAGGGAAAGGGAGGGAAAACTGAATGGGAAGAAATCAGAGAGGGAGACAAACCATGAGATTCTCGACTCCGGGAAACAAACTGAGGGTTGTGGAAAGGGAGGTGTGTGGGTGGGATGGGGTAACTGGGTGATGGGCATTAATGAGCGCACGTGATGTGATGAGCTCTGGGTGTTATACGCAACTAATCAATCATTGAATACTAAATCAAAAACTAATAATGTACTATATGTTGGCTAATTGAATGTAAATTAAAAAAAGGACATCTGTGTAACTTTTCCCTTTACTGATTTTGCTCTGTATTTTTTCACTGAAATATAGTCCTAAATCCAACTATATTCTGAATTCTCTGAGCAAATCAAAGAACCTCAAGGTGGTGTTAGGGACTCCCAAACGACTACACAAATTGAGACAGCATGGATCTCAGTATCTGGTATCCTGTGAAGATATAGCCCAGAAAACAGATTATGAAAATGAATCTATTAGATATATTTTGTAAATAAAGCCCTTCAGTCAATACACTTAAAATATCACCATGGTGTCCAAGAAGTGTGGAAAGGCATCTAAAGCTGCTCTTCCCCCTTAGAGGCTTGACTGCTATGCTATGATCCGTACCCCTGCATTTTTTCTTCAAAGCATTTCTTTTGGGGGCACCTGGGTGGCTCAGTCAGTTAAGTGTCGACCTTTGACTCAGGTCACGATCTCAGGGTCCTGGGATTGAGCCCCGCATCAGGCTCCCTGCTCAGCGGGGAGTCTGCTTCTCCTTCTCCCTCTGCCCGTCACCCAACCTCCCGGGCTTGTGCGCTCTCTTTCAGACTGTCTCTCTCACATAAATAAATAAAATCTTTAAAAAAAAAAAAAAGGCGTTTCTTTTAACCTCCACAACATAACCACTTTACTGGTATCTCCAGTATTTGTCTGCTCCCTGGCTTATGCCTCAAGATGCATCTTGTGCATCAACTACAAAGATGGTCAATCATACTCGTTAGCTTATCAGTGTATTCAAAGCAAAAATTTTTTTGCTTTTGAATACTGGAGTCCTACTCCTTAATTTTGATCTTCTGTGTCATACAATAATGTAGAGCAATCTTAATTAGGTGACTTAACTGTAAGGGACTCATAATTTTTCAAATTCTATTGTACATAATTTACCAGTTTGATCAAATGGATGTTCATTAAGAAATAAAAACATAATAGAGGGGCGCCTGGGTGGCTTAGCTGGTTAAGCGTCCAACTCTGGGTTTCAGCTCAGGTCATGATCTCAGGGTCGTAGGATCAAGTTCCGCATTTGGCTCTGTGCTCAGCAGGGTCTGCTGGAGATACTCCTTGCCAAAGAATATTAACAGCATCCACTCCTACATTATGTATGGACATACAGAGAATACACACATATACACAAGAGAGTTATGAATTTTATTATACTATGATGGCTATGGTCTGATTTCACAAAGCCTGTATTATGTTCTCCTGATATTACATGTCCTTGACATTACCTCAAACACCCCATATTATTATGGGATCATATGAAATTTAAACAAATTCTTATTGGTGAACATTTGTTATTTCCATTTAAAAACTGTGTGACATTAATGATGTGATTTTCATCTTTTCATTGTTTGAATCTCATAATCATGTATTTCTATAGTATGATTTCCAGATCACAGTTGCATGTTACACATTCCGTTATATACTGCTTTTCAAAAGATATGTATTGCCACCAAGAAAGAAAAACATGTAACTGTCATTTCTGCATCAGTAATTAATATATCTGATGAAACCACCAAATCCCAAATTTTTCTATTATTTATTTCATGGGGATGAGGGAAGAATATGGGAAGCTGACAAGCTAAATGTCCTTCAAATTTGACATAGCTTCTACCATAGAAGTTTGATTTAAAAAAAGAAAAAAAGTGCTACAATTAGAAGGCAATCATATAAAAGATTACACAGAAATGCAGAAATTTAAAAATCAATGAACTCAAAATTAAAATTTTTATCATTACTCTGACACTTTTAATGTTACTTTGAACCCTTGCCTTAACATTGTTGAGAAAATTCAATTAAGCTATGTGCAGTGGCCAGTTATCAGTGTTAAAATTGTCTGCAATGTGAGAAAAATCACAAGAGTTGATTTTCTACTGTATAAACCAATGGAACATGAAATCAAAACCCAAAAAATAACCCAACCACAGAATAGAGGCTGAGGGTATACCAAGAGCCAACTGCAATAGGATACTACCAAAATAATGCTGTGGAATGCAGTACTGTGTATTTCTGCATTTCAATTCCTATTTGTTTCTCAGAATTATTTTTTTTGCTGGTTTCCTTTTCCAGATACAATTTTTAAATATTGCACATTTTCTCTGATTATAATATTTTATCACAACTTTCTGCCATTTTAAGAACTGTGTCTCAGTATGGACCTTCTTGGGTTGATTTTCGGGGTGCTCTCTGTGCCTCCTGGATCTATGTTTCCTTCCCCACAAAAATGAATTTTTCAGCAATTTTTTCTTCAAATAAATTTTCCCTAAGACTATCCTCAATTTGCATATTTTTTTTTTTATTTGCTCAGGTTGATTACTTTCCATTACTCTGCCTTCCAGGTCATTAATTCATTCCTCAGTCATCTAACTTACTTATTCCATCAAGTGTTTTATTGTGTTCTTCATCTCTGATAGGTTCTTTTTAATCTCTGTGCTAAGGTTCTCACTATGTCCTTCACTCTTCTCAAGTCCAGTGAGTATCTCTATGACCATTACTTTAAATTCTCTATCTGGCATATATTACTTACATCTGTTTTGCTTAGGTCTCTTGCTGTGGTTTCGTCCTGTTCTTTCATTTGGAGATACCACCCCTCCTCATTTTGTCTCTATCTCTGTGTATTATTAGTCAGCTATGTCTCTTGGCTCTCAAAGGTAACGGCCTCACGAAGGTGTCTGTACTGCCCTGCAGTGCATGGTCTCCTGTTCCCTGGGAACCGTCGCTTCAGGGAGTGTCTCCTAAGCGTGTTGCCTGTGCCTGCCGTTGTGTCCTGGCCTCTTTTTCCTTCAGTCCAGTCATCTGCGGAGGCTCTCTCTGCCCGTTGTGGGCAGCGTCTGGTCTTCAGCGGGGTGGGGCACATCCTAATGTGTGTTGGTCTGCATGCTGCCACTGCCACCTCTGGACGTGATATCCCATGAAACATGCAGGTCAGATGAGGGGTTTGTGGGGTTTGCTCTGATCTCCCGGGGGAGGGGGCTTGCAGTGCCAGGACTGAAGCGAGTGTGATGGGGAAAGGCGGCTCCACTGGACCACAGGGGTGCGGGGCTCCGTGTAAGCAAGTTAGGTAAGGAGTGTTGGCACCACGTTGGTTCCAGCAAGAGGCCATGTGTTCATGCCAGGGGGCTGTGGAGGGAAGTGGTGCCTACCAGCTCCTTTGTTCCTGGAGGGGTCCCTGCCTCTCCAGGCCATGCTCTGATTAAGTCAATCTCTCTCCCGTCTGCCCCTGGCATTTTTCAAACTGCTGATTCCTGGCTGTACCTCCACTGGTTGGTTGTCATGCTCTCCCAGAGCCCAGCCCACAAACATTGAAAATCCAGGCTTTAAGTCCCACTGGTTGTAAGAACTCATGAAATTTGGCCCCTCTCACTTTCAAAGCCAAATGTTACGGGGATTTGTCTTCCCCATGTGGTCTCCCCACTGTGATAATCTGTTTTTTGCCTTCTCCACATCACCAGCTCTGTCCCCAGCACAGATGGCCACAGTCTGTTTCACTCTCAAACTGCATCTTTGCCCTTCCTACCTTCTTTGATATTGCCTCTTCTCTACCTTTAGTTGATGAGTTTGTTATGCCAGTCTTCAGGCCATTTCTGGGTTACTTACGCTGATGTGACTGTTGTCTAGCTGTATCTATGGGAGGAGGAAAGCTTAGGATCCTCCTACTCTGCTATCTTCCCTAATTCTCTCTTCTTTTTGACTCACTTAGCAAGTACTAAGTGCACATACAGAGTGCTACTCAGTGTTGATTGTATAAATTCAACAGCAAATAAACTCCCTGCCCTCACGAAGCTTGTATTTCAGGGGACATCAATTTTAATATCCACCATTAGAGTTTGATAAGTGCCTAAAGAAAGATTATTTCAGCCTGTTTGAGTGAAAACTACAACTGCTAAGGTTCTAACTAAAGTCCTCATTGCACCATTTGTGTGATCTTGGGATCACCAGGATGTATTCAGCTATGGCAGAAACATTGTTACTGAAACAAATGGTTTCCCTACGAGACTGGATGAAATTTATCACCAGCATGGATTCTGTGATGAATTTTAACATAGGAACTTGAACTGAACTGCTTACCACATATCTTACACTTATAAGGTTTCTCCCCTGTGTGAACTCTCTGATGGGACTTTAGATGTCCAGACTGACTGAAGACCTTACCACACATACTACATTTGTACGGTTTCTCTCCAGTGTGGACTCTCTGATGAACTTTAAGATTTGAGGTCCTAGTGAAGTGCTTACCACATGCCCTACAGGTGTATGGGTTCTCTCCCATATGGACACTCTGGTGCACATCAAGATCCAAGCTTGTCTTGTAGCCCTTCCCACACTCCTCACATTTGTATGGTTTTTCTCTGGTGTGGACTTTCTGATGAGCTTGCAGGCATGATTTCTGACCAAATCCCTTCCCACACTCTTCACATTTGAATGGTTTTTCTCCACTGTGGACTCGCTGATGTGTCAAAAGAGGTGAGACCCATCTGAAGCTCTTCCCACATTCCTTGCAATTATAGGGTTTCTCCTCTGTGTGGAACCTCCGGTGGTAATAAAGATGTGTCCTAGAAAAGAAGCTCTTTCCACATTCCTCACATTTGTGTGGTTTCTGTCCCATGTGAACTTTCTTATGGATACGAAGACGTGAACGCCAAGTATAGGACTTCCCACACTCCTCACATTTGTATGGTTTTTCTCCTGTGTGGACTACACAATGACTATTAAGTGCTGATCTACGACGAAAGCTCTTACCACAGATATCACACTTGAACGGCTTCTCCCCAGTGTGGACTCTCTGATGGTCCTGAAGATGGCAAGCATTAATGAAGGCCTTCCCACATCCCTTACACTTATAAAGTTTCTCTCCCGAGTGTAACCTGCAATGATTACTAAGTTCTGATCTACGACTGAAGCCTTTCCCACACTCCTCACATTTGAATGGCTTCCCTACAGTGTGGACTTTCTGATGGGTTTGCAGATGTGAGCTCTGACTGAATTCCTTACCACACTCATCACATCTATACCGTTTCTCTCCCAGGTGAACTCTCTGATGAATACGAAGTGCTGAGCTATAAAAGAAGCATTTCCCACACTCATGACATGTATGAGACTTCTCTTCTGAGTTTAACTGTTGAAGATCATAGTTGGAGGTATCACTGAAGAATTTTTTACACCCATTTCCCTGGTAAGTTCTCTGGCCTGTCTGAGTTATAGACAGTCCTGCCCCAACCTGGCCAGGTAAATCGCGTTGTTTGTAGAATTGAGAACTTTTTATCATGGAGTCTTGACACCGGGTTAAGTCATTAGCAATGTGTTGCCAGATTTGCCAGCAGGAAAGTTCTTCATGTGGTTCTGCTTTAAGAATAGTCTCCATCTCATGTTGGACTTTTTCTCCTAAAATGACAGAGAATGCAGATAGAGACAAATGAAGGCTTTGTTCAATGTCTTCATAGCTATATGTTAGGAAAGAGCATGGGACCTTTTTTTTTTTAAGATTTTATTTATTTATTTGACAGAGAGAGAGAGACAGCAAGAGAGGGAACACAAACAGGGGGAGTGGGAGAGGGAGAAGCAGGCTTCCTACGGAGCAGGGAGCCTGATGCGGGGCTCGATCCCAGGACCCCAGGGATCATGACCTGAGCCGAAGGCAGACACTTAACGACTGAGCCACCCAGGCACCCCAAGAGCACAGGACTTTAATGAATCCAGGGAATATTCCCTACATCCTTCTAGTGTATATCATGGTCTCTGGTTTAAATGCCTACACAAACCAAGAGGTAGTCTAGTAGGCTCCTATCCACTAAGCAAGCATCAATGAAACAAATTGAGAATCACTCCAAGCCTTGTATGTGATATACAAGTTAGAAATCAAAGACTTAATAACAAAAGTAATAATGATATAGGTTAATTTTGCTGTTTCTACTGAATTTCATAAATCAGTGTATAAACTCTTATTTTTTTATTTTTTATTATTTATTTATTTATTTATTTATTTTTTAAAGATTTTATTTATTTATTTGAGACAGAGAGAATGAGAGAGAGAGAGAGCACATGAGATGGGGGAGGGTCAGAGGGAGAAGCAGGCTCCCCGCAGAGCAGGGAGCCCGATGCGGGACTCGATCCAGGGACTCCAGGATCTTGACCTGAGCTGAAAGCAGTCGCTTAACCAACTGAGCCACCCAGGCGCCCTAAACTCTTATTTTTTTAAAAAATAAGCTCCACACCCAGCATGGAGCCCAATACAGGGCTTGAACTCACAACCCTGAGATCAAGACCTGGGCTGAGATCGAGTCAGACACAACTGACTGAGCCCCACAAGTGCCCCCAATAAACTCTTAAATAGTAAATTATGCAGCAAATAAATTATATACACAATGAAGGCCTTTGTCCTCAATATCTGAAAGATAGTTCTAAGCCCCTGGCGTGTCAGGCCTCAAAGGAATGCCGTAGGGTCTTCAGTCACATTAGACAGTTTAACAATATGATTTAGGGACAAGGCTGACCACACCAGAAAGACCAAGAATATGATTTTAGGTGGGGCTTTCAATCACCTGGTGGTGTGGACCAAGAGCCTGAGAATAACCATATGAAACCATTCAGTCTACACTGGTCATATGACAGAACTCCAATAATTACTCTGGACACAGGATCAGGTGAGTTTCCCTAATCGGTAATATCCTGTGTATAACTGTACACCTTCATTTTGGAAAGTAACACAATAACACATCCCTGACTCCATGGACAGAAAACATGGCAACTCTGCCTCTGGTACTTCCCTAAACTCCCTCTCATGTGCTTTTTCTCTTGCTTGATTGTAAGGTGTATCCTTCCCTGTAATAAACACTAACTGTGAGTATAACAGCATTCAGTGAATTTTGCCAGTCCTTTTAGAAAATGATTCAATCTGAAGGCAATTTTGGAAACTCTCAAACCTGTATTTGGTGTTAAGTGCCAGGAGGTCTGTGTAAACTGTCCCTCTAAACTTTATAGTTGCTTAAACAATTTGCAATCTTATATATCAAGCACCTAGAACTGATTATAGCTATATATTCTAAGTATTCCTGCAAATTCTACATAATGTGTATAGTTCATCTTATTTTCCTGTGTTAATACACACAGTTAATACACCTTAAAAAGGGAGAGCAAACTGTAGTTTTGCTGTGAAGTCAGCATACCCACAAGGAGGGTGGTGTTCCTGATAAGAGAAATGAAAATGGCAAGAACCACTAGGGGTGAAAAGACTACACAAAGGTTTATGCACTGGTTTCTTCTGAGGCTTCTGGACCGTCTCATTCAAAACAGAGTGAAGAAAATCTTTGAATGTAGATAAATTAGGCTTTCACATCAGTTTTTCTGAGTGAAAACTGCAGCCTTTTAGTCAGCTGTAAAATAAATTTAACATCATGCAATAAGCATTTAGGAAAAAGGGACAGAAACTATCAGAGCGTCGTTACTCACAGGAGTGGGGTGACTGCATGAATTGTCTTACAAAGTCATATATATAAATCTATATATGCATGAAATATTTCTTTTGGATACACTGAAAGATGCATTTCTTAGTAGGGCTTGTGTTCTAAAGTCTGAAAACTTAGTTCAGGAACTCAGCAGGTCTTTCATTAAACAAATTGTTCATATGGAAAGGTAAGCCCTAAGGGTGAAAACTTGGAAAATTATTAATAGGTGAGTGTGTACCTCCTGGTAGATACTACTTTATGGTTCTATTTAATAAACTATCCCTTTATAATAGTTTTCTTTGGGGCACCTGGGTGGCTCAGTCAGTTAAGCATCTGCCTTTGGCTCACGTCATGATCCCAGGGTCCTGGGATCAAGTCCCGCACTGGGTTCCCTGCTCAGCAGGGGAGTCTGTTTCTCCCTCTTCCTCTGCCCCTCTGCCTGCTTTTGCACACATGTTCTCTCTCTCAAATAAATAAATAAAAATCTTAAAAAATAATAATAATAGGGGACTTTAACACCTCACTTACATCAATGGACAGATCATCTAAACAGAAAATCAACAAGGAAACAATGGCTTTGAATGACTCACTGGAACAGATGGATTTAACAGACATATTAAGAACATTCCATCCTAAAAAAATAAAACAGACATTCAGAATACAAAATGTATAATTAAAAAAAAAAAAAGAACATTCGATCCTAAAACAGCCCAATACACATTCTTTTCAAGTGTACATGGAACATTCTCCAGAACAGATCACATATTAGGCCACAAAACAAGCATCAACAAGTTCAAAAAGATCATAGTCATACCATGCATCTTTTCTGACCACAACGATAGGAAACCAGAAGTCAACCTCAAGAAAAAATCTGGAAAGACTACAAATACATGCAAGTTAAATAACATGCTAGTACACAATAAATGGGTCAACCAAGAAATAAAAGAAGAAATAAAAAGTACATGGAAATAAATGAAAACACAACTGTCCAAAACCTTTGGGATGCAGAAAAAGCGGTTCTTTTTTTTTTTTTTTTTTTTTTTTAAGATTTATTTATTTGAGAGAGCGTGAGAGCACAAGAAGTAGGGAGGGGCAGAGGGAGAGGGAGAATCAGGCTCCATGTGGAGCCCCATGTGGGACTTGATCCCAGGACCCTGGGATCACCACCTGAGCCAAAGGCAGACGCTTAACCACTGAGCCACTCATTCGCCCAGAAAAAGCAGTTCTAAGAGGGAAGTTTAAAGCCTTATAGGCTGACCTCAAGAAGCAAGAAAAATCTCAAACAACCTAACTTTACACCTTAAGGAGCTAGAAAAGGAACAACAAACAAAACCTAAAAACAGCAGATGGAAGGAAATAATAAAGACTAGAGCAGAAATAAATGATATAGAAACAATAGAACAGATTAATGAAATCAGGAACTGATTCTTTGAAAAAAAAAATTAATAAAATTGATAAGCCTCTAGCTAGACTTATCAAGAGAGAAAGAGAAAGGACTCAAATAAATACAATCACAAATGAGAGAAGAGAAATAACCAATCACAGAAATACAAATAATTACAAGAGAATATTATGAAAAACTATATGCCAACAAATTGGACAATTTAAAAGAAAGGGATAAATCCCTAGAAACATATAACTTACCAAAACTGAAATAGGAAGAAACAGAACAATCGAACAGACCAATTATCAGCAAAGAAATTGAGTCAGTAATCTAAGAAGTCCCAACAAAAGTTGGGTTCCCAACAAAAGTCCAGCACCAGACGGCTTCACAGGCAAATTCTGCCAAACCAAACTATCCCAAAAAATAGAAAAGGAAGGAAAACTTCCAAATTCATTTTTTGAGGACAGTATTAACCTGACACCAAAACCAGATAAAGACACCACACACCAAAAAAAAAAAAAAAGAGAGAGAACTACAGGCCAATATCTTTGATGAACACAGATGCAAAAATCCTCTACAAAATATTAGCAAACTGAATCCAACAATATATTAAATAAATCATTCACCACAATCAAGTGGAATTTATTCCTGAGTTGCCAAGGTCATTCAATATTTGCAAATCAATCAACGTGGTACATCACATCAATAAGAGAAAGGATAAAAACCCTATCATCATTTGAATAGATGTGGAAAAAACATTTGATGAAGTACCACATCCACTCATGGTAAAAACCCACAACAAAGTAGGTTTAGAGGGAACACAAAGGCCATATACGAAAAACCCACAGGTAACGTCATCCTCAAAGGGAAAAAACTGAGAACTTTTTCTCTGCAGTCAGAAATAAGAGAGGAGGGAAGCCTGGGTGGCTCAGTCGGTTAAGCGTCTGCCTACGGCTCAGGTCATGGTCCCAGGATCCTGGGATCGAGCCCCACATCAGGCTCCCTGCTCGGCGGGAAGCCTGCTTCTCTCTCTCCCACTCCTCCTGCACGTGTTCCCTCTCTCGCTGTGTCTCTCTCTGTCAAATAAATAAAATCTTTAAAAAAAGAAATGAGAGGAATGTCCACTCCCACCACTGTTATTTAACATAGTACTGGAAGTCCCAGCCTCAGCAAGTAACGAAAAGAAATAAAAGGCATCCAAATTGGTAAGGAAGAAGTAAAACTTTTGCTATCTGCAGATGATACGATACTATATATAGAAAACCTGAACGACTCCACTGAAAAACTGCTAGAATAAATTAATTCAGTAAAGTCACAGGATACAAAATCAATGTACAGAAATCTGTTGCATTTCTACACACCAATAATGAGGCAGCAGAATTAGAAATTAAGGAATCAATCCCATTTACAATTGCACCAAAAATTATGATACACCTAGGAATAAAGCTAACCAAAAAGGTGAAAGATCTGTACTCTGAAAATTATAAAGCACTGATAAAAGAAACTGAAGATGACATAAAGAAATGGAAAGACATTCCATGCTCACAGATTGGAAGAATACTGTTAAAATGTCTATACTGCCCAAAGCAATCTACACATTTAATGCAAACCCTATCAAAATACCTGTCAGAATGGCTAAAATCAAAAACACAAGAAACAAGTGTTGGTGAGGATGTGGAGAAAAAGGAACCCTAGTGCACTGTTGGTGGGAATGCAGACTAATGCAGCCACTGTGGAAAACAGTATGGAGGTTCCTGAAAAAGTTAAAAATAGAACTACCCTACAATCCAGCAATTGCACTATTGGGTATTTACCCAAAGAATATGAAAGCACGAATTCAAAGGGATACATGCATCCCTATGTTTATAGAAGCATTATTTACAATAGCCAAATTATGGAAGCAGCGCAAGTGTCCATCGACTGATGAACAGATAAAAAAGGTGTGGGGTGTGTATGTATGTGTGTGTGTGTGTAATGGAATATTATTCTGCCATCTAAAAGAATGAAATCTTGCCATTTGCAATGACATGAATGGATCTGGAGAGTATAATGCTAAGTAAAGTAAAATAAGTCAGAGAAAGACAAATACCATATGATTTCACTCACACAGGGAATTTAAGAAAGAAGACAAATGAGTGGGGCGCCTGCATGGATCAGTTGTTAAGCGTCTGCCTCCACTCAGGTCATGATCCCAGGGTCCTGGGATTGAGTCCCTTGTAGGGCTCCATGCTCGGCGGGAAGCCTGCTTCTCCCTCTCCCCCCGCTTGTGTTCCTGCTCTTGATCTCTCTCTTTCTCCATCAAATAAATAAATAAAATCTTAAAAAAAAAAAAGACGACAAATGAGCAAAGGGGGGGAGAAAAGAAAAAGAGATAAACCAAGAAACTATAGAGAACTTATGGTGACCAGAGGGGAGGTGGGGGAAGTGGGGGGGGGGCGTGAAATGGGTGATGGGGATTGAGGGCACTTGTGATGAGCATCAGGTGTTATATGGAGGTGTTGAATAACTATACCGTGCACCTCAAACTAATATAACACTGTATGTTAAATAACTGGAATTAAAATTAAAACTTAAAAAAAAAAAAAAAGTTTTTCTTCCCAGAAATGACTATGCCCCCTACAAAAGGAAAGTCTACAGGGAAAGCATGCTCCCTGGTGTGGTCACAACCACAGCGCTTGGAGGTTTCCTTGGGATCTGGGTCAAGTGCTCACACAGAAACACACAATCACACTTCGAGTCATCTAAGTAAGTAAAAATTGGATAGGTAGCCATTTGAAGACAAGTAATATTCCTCAATATCTTCAGTTCATTCTGGTTTATGGTCACTTATTAGCTGTTGCCACGAGTCATGGACTGACTGGTGAAAAGGAAGCCTATGCCCTGGTTTCTTACAAGGCTTCTGGCCTGTTTCTTTGAAAATAGGGTGGAGGGGCGCCTGGGTGGCTCGGTCGTTAAGCGTCTGCCTTAGCTCAGGTCATGATCCCAGCGTCCTGGGATCAAGTCCCGGATCGGGCTCCCTGCTCTGCGGGACGCCTGCTTCTCCCTCTCCCCCTGCTTGTGTTCCCTCTCTCGCTGTGTCTCTCTCTGTCAAATAAATAAAATCTTTAAAAAAAAAAAAAAAAAATGAAAATAGGGTGGAAAAACTGGATATAGATAAACTTGTCTTTTGCACCAGATTTTTAAGTTGCAAACTAAAGACCTTTAGTGAGCTGTGGAATAAATTTAAAAGCCTGTAATAAGCATTCAGAAAAACAAACTATCCTGCATCACCAGCGACAAGAAATACAGTTAAATTCTCCTATCCATTAATTCATTCGCAAAGTCAATATATATTTACAGGTATCTGCCTCATCCCTCCACTAGTCTAGGCACCAAGGACACACCAATTATCAAAACAATTAAAATTCTCCTCCTGCAGGGGCGCCTGGGTGGCTCAGTCGTTGAGCATCTGCCTTCGGCTCAGGTCATGATCCCGGGGTCCTGGGATCGAGCCCCGCATCGGGCTCCCTGCTCGGCCGGGAAGCCTGCTTCTCCCTCTGCCTCTCTCTCTCCCTCTCTCTGTCTCTCATGAATAAATAAATAAAATCTTGAAAAAAATAAAAAATAAAAATAAATAAATAAATAAACCTTGGAAAAAATAAAAGGGGAGCAAGAAAGAGAGGACAGAAGATGTATTCAAAGGAGAGGGACTGGGGATGCAGAGCAGACTCCAGGGGATTCCAAGAGCCACTTTAAGTGGTTTTAACTTTAAGGTGGGGGAAAAAAAGAAGCCATCATGGATGTTTGTTTGTTTTTTTTTTAAGATTTTATTTACTTATTTGAGAGAGAGAGAGAGAGAGAGAGGGAGCATGAGTGGCCGGGGGGGGGGGGGGGCAGATGGAGAGGGAGAAGCACACTCCTCACTGAGCAGGGAGCCCGAAGCAGGACTTGATCCCAGGACCCTGAGATCATAATCTGAGCCAAAGGCAGACGCTTAATGGACTGAGCCACCCAGGTGCCCAGACATAATGGATTTTGACCAGAGGAATGGCAATCTCAATTACATTGCCTAAGGATCACTTCGGCTGCTCTGTGGAAAACAGGTGTAGGACGGGAAGGGTGGAAGCAGGACAACCCGTACAGAGGCTGTTGTAATAATCCAGGAAAAAGGTTTGGCAATTTACAACAAGGTGATGGAAATAAGCATGAAGAAATGTATGTCAAACAGACGGGAGAGGTGCCTCCAAGACTCATGGTTACTTGGTTCTTACCTGAACTGCCTTTTCTTTGGGTTGCTAACTTCACCATCCAAAACTTTCCTTCTCTTACCAAGTGGACCACATCTCGTTTAAATGGTTGATGCCCTGGGAGCACACAAAGTCATATGTTTAAAGTCAACACACTAGGGAAAATTCACTGGAAAATGGGGTTCCCACTACATATTCTTCAAGCAATCAGAAGCAATGTTTTTCAAACATTTGTTTTCATGACCATTTGAAAAATATCATTTGCCAAGTCTCCTACACATATACAGAATGAGTTAGGAAGTACTTACTCTTCTTTGATTTTTTGGAAGAGTGAGAGAAGGACTGCTATTATCTAATTTATTTATTTCATTAAAAGTTGATAACAGGGGGCGGCTGGGTGGCTCAGTTGGTTGAGCGACTGCCTTCGGCTCAGGTCATGATCCTGGAGTCCCGGGATCGAGTCCCACATCAGGCTCCCTGCTCGGCAGGGAGTCTGCTTCTCCCTCTGACCCTCCCCCCTCTCATGTGCTCTCTCTCTCTCATTCTCTCTCTCAAATAAATAAATAAAATCTTTAAAAAAAAAATGAAGCTCAATTAAAAAAAAAAAGTTGATAACAGGACTCACTGTACTGGTTTTATAACTCATGATAGGGTCAGAAATACATGAGGCAGAGCTGTATACCATCCATTTACTTTTCTTCAACAAAACAAAGATTTGCCTGTTGTTAAAAAAACAAATAATGCTCTCTGTGAGTCCCACATATATTAGGAAAATCAGATCCCCAAACTCAGAGAACCAGTTCGAGGGCCCCAAAGCCTTGAAAACCCAAGGATACGAAGCCACTCCTGGAACTAACATTCAGTAATAGAGGGCTGATGTCCTCACCCACAGAGACCAGGTTCCCGAAGTTCTCCAACATCACGTCTCGGTACAGCTTCCTCTGGGCGGGGTCCAGAAGCCCCAGCTCCTCCTCCGTGAAGACCACAGCCACGTCCTTGAACGTCACCGTCTCCTACAACACCAAGCACATGTTGTCTCAACCTTACAACCGACCTTCACTGAGAGGGACAGCGCTAAGAGATATATCTTCTTATCTGTCACTTTTACTCAACAGAATGGCTAACATTTCTGACCCTTGGTTTCCTGTGTGAACCTGAGTAGGTTTCTTATATTTTACATACCTGGGTGGAAGATGAAATCAGGAACCCCCCTTATACAGCAGCTCTAAGGAGTAAATGCAGAGACAGAACTAAGTGCATGGCAAATCCAGGAAGCCTGGATGTTTTATTTTTATTTTTTTACTTTTATTTATTTTTTTTAAAGATTTTATTTATTTATTTGACAGACGGAGATACAGTGAGAGAGGGAACGCAAGCAGGGGGAGTGGGTGAGGGAGGAGCAGCAGAGCAGGGAACCCGATGTGGGGCTCGATCCCAGGATCATGACCTGGGCTGAAGGCAGACGCTTAACGACTGAGCCACCCAGGCACCCCTTTATTTTATTTTATTTTAATTAATTAATTAATTAATTTATTTATAGATTTTATTTATTTATTTGAGAGAGTGAGAATGAGAGACAGAGAGCATGAGAGGGAGGAGGGTCAGAGGGAGAAGGAGACTCCCTACCGAGCAGGGAGCCCAATATGGGACTCGATCCTGGGACTCCAGGATCATGACCTGAACCGAAGGCAGTCGCTCAACCAACTGAGCCACCCAGGCACCCTATTTTATTTTTTTTTAAGATTTTATTTTTATTTATTTGACAGAGAGAGAGAGAGCACAAGCAGGGGGAGCGGCAGGCAGAGGGAGAAGCAGGCTCCCAACTGAGCAAGGAGCCCGATGTGGGGCTCAATCCCAGGACCCTGGGATCATGACCTGAGCCAAAGGCAGACGCTTAACCAACTGAACCACCCAGGTGCCCCAGGCCTGGATGTTTTAAACTAAGGTTATACCTCAGTTTATAACTGGAGGCAACCAAGATGTCGCTTAGGTGGTAAATGGATAAACTGTACATCCCGATCAGAGTATAATTTAAGGATTAAAAAACAAAAAGAGCTATCAAGCCATGAAAAGACATGGAGTTACCTTAAATGCATATGACTAAGTTAAAGAAGTCAATCTGAAAGGCTACATACTGTATGAATCCAACCATATGACATTCTGGAAAAGGTAAAACTATGGAGACTACAAACTATGGAGTCTGAGAAAAGATCAGTAGTTGGCAAGGGTTAGGGGAAGGGAAGGATAAATAGGTGAAACACAGAGGACTTTTAGGGCAGTGAAACTACTATGTAGGATACTATAATGGTGGGGCCACATCATTACAAATTTGTCCAAACCGACAGAAAGAACAACATCAAGAGTGAATCCTAAAGTAATCTATGGACTCTGGGTGATAATGATGTGCTGATGGAGGTTCATCGATTGTAACAAGTGTACTACTCTGGTGGCGGATGCTGACAATGGGAGAGTCTGTGGGTGTTTGGGGGCAGGGTGGGAAATCTCTGTACTTCCTGGATTTTTTTTTAAAGATTTTTTTTTTTTAATTTATTTATTTGAGAGAGAGAATGAGATAGAGCATGAGAGGGGGGAGGGTCAGAGGGAGAAGCAGACTCCCTGCCGAGCAGGGAGCCCGATGCGGGAGTCGATCCCGGGACTCCAGGATCATGACCTGAGCCGAAGGCAGTCGCCCAACCAACTGAGCCACCCAGGCGCCCCTGTACTTTCTGGATTTTACTGTGAATGTTAAACTGCCCTAAAAAATAAAGTCTATGTATATACATATATACACAAACCCAAGGTTATACATTACTTTGAAAAAACTAATACATGACAGAATAAAAGCAGATCAGTAAGTGACATGCAGGGGATGACTCAGACGTAAGACAGAATCTAGCTCTTCCTGTGTGAAAATCTCCAACGAGATTCGCATAAGGCAGCAGTTAGAGCCTATTGCGCTGTGGCGTATTTGGGTATCTTATCTACAAAACTCTAACGTGGCATGTATCAAATGTACTTTTTCATTATTGAGCTCCTAATACATTGAGGAGAAAAAATAGGTAGCTTATTCGGAGAAGTGATTTTTTGCAGAAAAAAACGGCAGGTAGGAAAACGATCACTGCAGTGTTGCTTCAAACAATCAAACTCCTAAGCCACCTTAATGTGTAGGAGCAGCAAGCAGTTAAAAATTAAAAATCGTATCAATTGAGGGGCGCCTGGGTGGCTCAGTTGTTAAAGCGTCTGCCCTCAGCTCAGGTCATGATCCCAGGGTCCTGGGATCCAGCCCCGCGTCGGGCTCCTTGATCCGCGGGGAGCCTGCTTCTCCCTCTCCCTCTCCCCCTGCTTGTGCTCCCTCTCTCGCTGTGTCTCTCTCTCTGTCAAATAAATAAATAAATAAAATCTTTTAAAAAATCGTATCAATTTAATAGAAATACAATGTAACCACAAATAACGAATGTTCTATGTTAAACCAAGAAGCACAAGTCAATATTAGATGTATATCATGAATATTAATAAATCTATGAATATACATAAGAAAGTATGAGAAAATAAAAATAGTTAATGTGTCACTGGTGAAGCAAGCAGAACTGGTCATTCCTAGTAATTGGTCCACATTAATTTTTTTTAATATATATGTATTTTTTATTATGTTCAATTAGCCAACATATAATACATCATTAGTTTTTGATGCAGTGTTCAATGATTCATTAGGTGCGTATAACACCCAGTGCTCATCACCACACACGTTTATTTTTGAAATAAAATGAATAATGACAGAATTATTGCTAAAAGCAAATACAGAGTAAACAGGTGATTTAGCTTGGTGTTCTCCTTGAGTCACCCCAAGAAATGAAAAAAATATGTAACTTTTTTTTGAGAGAGAGAGCGAGCTGTAGGGAGGGGCAGAGAGGGAAAGAGAGAATCCCAAGGAGGCCCCTGGCTGAGCACAGAGCCAAGGCAGGGCTCGATCTCAGGACCCTGAGACCATGACTTGAGCCGAAATCAAGAGTCAGACGCTCAACCAACTGAGCCAGCCAGGCGCCCCAATATGTAACATTCTGAGTAGTGAAATGGAATTTTAACAGCAAGAAAGGCAAGCCATATGCACCTTGAATGTGGTCATTTTTTTCTTCCTACTTCTGGAGAGGTAGATTCCTGGAATACGGAGTCCTGGCAAGGCAGACCTGGGCCTGGTCGTGTCTGGAAAGGCAGAAAAGGACATGAAAGGGTGCCCAGGGATGATGCTCGCCTACATGAATGCTTACTGTGAATTAGCCAAGGAGCCCCTTCCTTGGGATGGCTGTTGCTGTCCACAGCGCGAAGAGCAGATCAGGGCTACTCCATTCCTACAAAACACACACACTGGTTGTTGTGTGTTGCCTTGTGCTATCTTGCCTTGCTCCCAAGGTAGCAGTTCAGATTCTGATATGATGGAAACTGACACAACATAATGCATCAAGCAAGAATCATCTCTGGGGCAACAATATCTGGGCTCAAATCCTACCTCAGCTGCTCAGTAATTGAATCATCTTGGATGAATTAATAACATCTCTTTTCCTCAATTTTGTCATCTATACAACTGGGACAATAATATTTCCAACTCATGGAACTGTTGAGAGCTGGACAACACTTGGAATACACTCAGGGTTTCTTACTTTTGTAGCTCTAGTAAAAAAAAAGATGACATTCTGCAATATGAAATTGCTCTTATGCATGTGATTTCCAAAAGACATTGTAGGATACCTGACTGAAGCTCTGACGTTGATTGTCCTGTTGTGTGAAGGTCACTTGTAACCTCTGAAAAACCAGTTAACTCTGCCTCATTGTCTTCCCTAATATTGTGTTACCTTAGTGATAATTTTTAAATTGTTGTGGACCACTGTTTTCCCAAACAACAACAACAACAACAACGGTTTCTAGTATCTATTAAGAAAACACAAGATTCTGGGGGGTGGGGTGGGTGGGGACAGTATGATGAAGCCAATCTGGAAAACAGTTTTGGCAGTTTGTCAAAAAGTTAAACCAAAAGCTACCAGTCAGCCAAGCAACTCTACTCCTCGGTATCTACCCAAGAGAAATGAAAATCTATCTCCAAACAAAAACATATACATATGTATTTATAAAACTGTTATTCATAAGAACCCCAAACTGGAAACTAAGATGTCCACCCATGGATAAATGGACAAAGTGTGGTGTGTCCACACTGAAATATTAATGGGCAATAAAAAGGAATAAAATTATGATGTATACAACATGGATGAACCCTGAAAATATCACAAGTGAAAGAAGCCAGTCACAAAAGACCACACCTTGTATGATCCCATTTAAATAAAGGGTTCACAATATAGAGACAGAGAAGAAGTTAGTGGTTGTCTGGGGTTGTTGAGAACAGACATTAACTATAAATGGTAATAAGGGGTCTTACTGGAGGAATGAAAATGTTCTAAAATTGAATTATGGCTAGAGCTGCACCCCTCAATGTTACAAAAATCACTGAATTGTACACATGCAAAGGGAAAATTCTGATATGTAAAATCGAGATCAACTAAGTTGTTTTTAAGAATTGTCTGAGAAGCAACATCTCATTTAAGTTAACAAACCTGAACTGAGTCCATATGAAATTTGTATTTGACTGAATGAAAAAAAAAAAGAGGGACAAAAAGGGATGCTGATCTTTACAGCAGAAAGCCCACTAATAAAACATGTCTCCCCACTGGAAACTTTAATTACAAAAACAAATACAGTAACTTCAGTGGTAAAATGGCACAGACATCCCCTTCACCAAGTGAACAAAACTGACATCACCAATATAAAAGCCAAAATATGTCCTTCGGCTCCTGTTATGTTGATTGAAAAGGCCACGTCACCACTTCTGTGGAATCCCTGACAATGCATAATCTGAATCAAACAGTGAAATCTATCACATAAAATTCAAAAGATGGGCTTTCTCTGATACGACTTGCCTACACATCATGAACAAAAACATCACGAACAAAATAATGAAGGATGAGGAATCATTCTGGGTTAAAGGAGACAACAGAAAACATGACAGCAAAAGGCAGCCCACAACATTGGCTTTAATCAGGAGAAAACAGTTTTAAGGATTTTAAATGAAAAACAGAACACATTTAAGTATGGACTGAGGGTCAGAGAATAGCACATTAACAATGTAATTTTCTGATTTTGATCTAGATACTGTGATTATAGAAGAGACTATCCCGATTCCTAGAAAATAAACAGTGTTTAAAAGAAAAACACAGGCCTAAAATGGCATCACTTAGGCCAAGTCACCAAACTGGGGCTTAATGACTAACCTAATTGCAGTTTCAACCTCCCCCAGAAACACAGTGTTAACCAGTCACTCAGGAATTTTCTGATAAGCACCTATGAAGTTAATCTGACACACAGGCCCTCTCCATCCCTTCAAGATGCATAAGATCCTCTGCTCTTCCCTCCAAGGGAAAGTGGCCTTGCTTGAAACAATCCTTTCTTTCCTCTTGCTAATAACTTCCTTGCCCCACCCTCCTTCCTACAAAAACCTTGCATTTTGTACAACTCCCGGGAGCTGCCTTCTACTTGCTTTATGGGATGCTGCCCAGGGTATGAATCATTTAATAAAGTCAATTAAGTCTTCAAATTTAGTCAGCTGAATTTTTGTTAACAATACAAACACTTAGGGACATAGAGGTATCGTCTACAGCATAATCTCAAATTCTTCGGGGGGGGGGGAAGAGATGCGTGAAGGAAAAAAGGCAAGGGCAGTTGACAGCTGGAAGCAGCTAGGCCTTGGTGTTTTCAACTCATCATAAATAATTTCAAGAATATCAGCAATTTTCAGACATAACTACTTAGTGTCAATGGTGCAACAAAAAAGGCACTCTTTTTTGAGACAAAGGCCAAGGACAGAAAGGAGGCTCTGAAACACCACAATTACGTCTTTGTCCCTGAGAAATCAGGAGATACTCTGCCCCCGCCCCGCCCCTCCTCCTTTCCAGCCCGAAATGGTTTGGGAGTGTTAACCTTAAAAATAAAACTGCCAGTTATGTTACTGGAATAGCAGAAAATCGCAATCCAGGACAAGCAAGATATGGCAAAAACACAGGCAAGTCCCCAGAACAAAGGAGAGGAACACTCTTTTACAGGGTAAAGGGAGAACTTGGGAATGCTGTCATAAAGAAAAAGTCCATTGGAGCAAACGGGGGCTTGAAGTATAGTGGCTTTTCGTTGGCTGAGTTTTGACAATCTCTCATGGGCTGGGCTGACGCGGGGCGGGAAGCCATTCTTCCTCCCTCTGGGATAGTAACTAAGAGCTAAAATAGTATCAGGTGGTCTCTTCCAAGTGGGTCTGCAATCGACAAGAGTCATGGCAGGGTATGAGCGCTTTCCCCCTGCCGGCCTCGGACTCCATTCTAAAGGAGGTTTCCCTTTATTAATTTTACACAGGAGTAACTCCTCAGAAAGGGTTCGGGACTATCAAGCTTCCTACAGGGATCAAAAAGAAGTGCCAGGACTCACTGCAGCCACGATATTCGTGGCTGTCCGGTTACTAAGCACTTAACAAAATTAGAGTCTAATACCAAGAGACCACCATTCACCACGCGGCAGGAAGTGTCCTTAAGACTTTTATTTATACCATCTCGTTTGATTCTCAAACCACTGGATTATAGGAAGGTAGGAACGTCATCCCAATTTTACAAAAAAACAAAAACAAACAAAAAACCCAACCCCCCCCAACCTCCGAGACAGAGAAATTTAAGTAAGTGGCCCAATGAATGTTCAACCACGCGACAAGGGCAGAGCGAGGGAAAGGTGGGCGGCCTGGGGAGGCAGGACTGCAGGCGGAGAGTCCGGGAGACCCTCCACCAGGCCATACGCTGCTCAACCGCCTCAAAAGCCAAGAGGGTCCCTGGAGGGGAACGCCACTCCAGCCCTCAAGCCACCTCTCTCGCGCGCAGCTCTCCCCCCCAAATCAATGGCCAGCGGTACTAGCACCCAGGGAAGTTCAGGAGGGTCCCGAAACCAGAACCCACTTACCACAGCGACCGGAGAGCCTGCAGCAGAGCCCGCAACGGAGCCGGGAACAACCTGGCCACCTGAGCGGAAGTGCCTGAGACCGCCCCGCCCCAAACTCCGAGGGGATCGACTACCCAGAATTCCTCTCTCCCGGCTGCCTTGCGGAAGTACCCGAGTCTCTACCGAACTGGCGGACTACATTTCCCAGAAATCCGGAGAACACCGGCCCCCATTCCCATCCTCCCCGGCCGGAAGTGCTTGCGACTCCTGGGAGATGCGGCTCTCTAGTTCCCACAATGGCCGTGGGGGCTGAGTTCGTGTTGTCCGGTTCTTGGGCGGTAACGTGCGTTCCCATACTGGGGCTAGAGTTCACCTCTCCCGGAATCCGGCATCATAAAATATTCTGTTATTTAAGCTGCTATTAGTTTTGTCTGTACAATAATAGCAAACCTAGCTAATATATCACTGGAAAGGTTAGTCTGAAACTGCAATGATGAACTTAAGATCTTCGGAAGAATGCACAAGGTCAAGGCTTAAGAAGCTGTACATTTGGAAATCTACACAGAACTGTTGAGAAAAACACTTTAAAACTGTATTGCAAAATTCATGGGCCCAAGAGAGGTATGGTAATTTGGTTGATTCTTTATTACCTCTCCCACAGGAGTCTGAATCACCCAAAATCCACGAGTCACCTCCATTCTGTCAGTACACTATCACGTGATGGTCTAAAGAAATATTGTGCCACAGAGAAGCGCCTTTAACAAGAATAGCCAAGGCACCTCAACAGAACCTCATGGACACAAGTCTTGGAGTTTCCTGGGATATTTGGTAGACCACTCAGATGGAATAAAGGCCAGAGACAACGCCAGAAGGACAAACAAGATTGGACACACACGGGTCCAGATCCTGGCTCTAGGCACCCCAACTGGACAACACTCACTACCAGTAATGACCAAATTCAGGCAGCAGAGGGCAACATAAAAAAAATTGGCACTGCATAGTGTGGGCCTTCTCGAGGCACAGGGCCTGGCCCGATCTACTTGGATCTAAGAGCTATACAGTCTCCTCCATTCTAACTGACAGTCTCACCTCCTTAAGCACACATAGTCTTTTATTTTTATTTAAATTCTAGTTAGTTAACATACAGTGCAATAGTGGTTTCAGGAGAATTCAGTGATTCATCACTTACATACAACACCCAGTGCTCATCATAACAAGTGCCCTCCTTAATACCCATCACCCATCTAGCCCATCCCCCACTTATCTCCCTCCATCAACTCTCAGTTTGTTCCCTATCATTAGGAGCCTTTTATGGTTTATTTCCCTCTCTCATTTTCCCCCCTCCTGTATGTTCATCTGTTTTGTTTCTTAAATTCCACATATGAGTGAAATCACATAGTAATTTGTCTGTCTCTGACTGACTCATTTTGCTTAGAGTAATGTACTCTAGCTCCATCCACATCACTACAAATGGTAAGATTTCATTCTTTTGATGGCTGGGTAATATTCCATTGTTTTTATTTATATACCACATCTTCTTTATCCATTCATCAGTCAATGGACATTTGGGCTCTTTCCATAATTTTGCCATTGTTGATAATGCTGCTTACAAACATCAGGGTGCATGCACCACTTTAGTACATACAGTCTTAGAAGCTGCACAGCTATGAGTATCTTCATCTATGATGTCAGCCCTAGCCTGACATCACCAAAACTGGCCTTTAAAAAGATTGAGCTTATGACAGAGAAATTCCACTCCCAATACCCAAGAGAAATTATACCCAAGAGAAATTAAAACATATGTACACACTTGTACAAAAAATGTTCATAGCAGCATTATTCAGAATAGCCAAATTATAGAAACAATCCAAATGTCCAGTAACTGATGACTAGATAATAAAATGTGGTATATTTATACAGTAGAATCTTATTCTGTGATTAAAAAATGAAGTACTGGGGCGCCTGGGTGGCTCAGTTGGTTAAGCGACTGCCTTCGGCTCAGGTCATGATCCTGGAGTCCTGGGATCGAGTCCCGCATCGGGCTCCCTGCTCAGCGGGGAGTCTGCTTCTCCCTCTGGCCCTCTCCACTCTCATGCTCTCTCTCTCTCTCATTCTCTGTCTCTCAAATAAATAAATAAAATCTTTAAAAAAATAAAAATAAAAAAATAAAAACTGAAGTACCGATTCATTCGAGGGTTAACCTTGAAAACGTGCTTAGTGAAAAAAGCTAGACACAATAAAGAATGTATTTTATGATCCCATTTATATGAAATGTGCAGAAGACATCAGTCTATACAGGAAGATAAGTTGTTATCAGGGACTTGTCCAATGGGAGTGGAAAACGGCTGCTAATGGATGGGGGCGGGTGTTGGTAGGCTGATGAAAAAGCTCTGGAATGAGATAGTGGTGATAGTTTAAATCTTTGTGAATATACCAAAAGTCATGCAATCATACACCTTACAAGTGTGAATATTAAAGTATGTGAATTATATCTCAATTGAAAAAAAGATATTGGCCTGTTTGAAACTGTTTCCCACTCACATGTTACTATGGACTGAATTGTGCCCCTCTGCCATGCATATGTTGAAGCCCTAAACTCCAGTGTGACTTATTTGGATATAGGGTTTTTAAGAAGGCAATTAAGATTAAATAGGTCATTGGGTGCCTGGGTGGCTCAGTTGGTTAAGCGACTGCCTTCAGCTCAGGTCGTGATCCTGGAGTCCCGGGATCGAGTCCCGCATCGGGCTCCCTGCTCGGCGGGGAGTCTGCTTCGTCCTCTGACCCTACCCCTCTCATGTGCTCTCTCTCTCTCATTCTCTCTCTCAAATAAATAAATAAAATCTTTAAAAAAAAAAAGATTAAATAGGTCATTAGAGTGGGGCCCCAATATGATAGGATACAAACAAATGGAAAAGTATTCATGTTCATGGATTGGAATTGTTGATACTATTAAAATATCAATATTATCAAAAGTCATCTATAAATTCAATGAAATCCCTATCAAGATTCTAATGGCAATTTTTTTTACAGAAGTAGAAAAAACACCTAAAATTTATATGGCACCACAAAAGACCCCCAATAGCCTGAAAAAGAAAAATAAAGCAGGAGGTAACACATTTCCCGATTTCGAGCTATACTATAAAGTTATAGTCATCAAAACAGTATGGTGCTGGCATAAAAACAAACAGATCAATGGGACAGAATTGATAGCCCTAAAATAAACCCAAGCATATATGGTCAACTAATATTTGACAAGGGAGTCAAGAACATTCAATGGAGAAAAGACTTTCTTTTCAATAAATGGTGCTGGGATAATTGGATATTCACATGTAAAAGAATGAAACTGGCCCCATATCTATACCACTCACGAAAATTAACTCAAAATGAATTAAAGACTTAAATGTAAGAAACTCCTAAAAGAAAACAGGAATAAAGCCTCTTAACATGGATCTTGGTTATGATTTTTTGGATATGACACTTAAAGCACAAAGAACAAAATAAAAAATAAACAAGTGAGACTATATCAAACTAAGAAGCTTCTGCACAGCAAAAGAAACCATCAACAAAGTGAAATGACAACCTATGCAATGGGAAAAAAAAATCTACAAGCCATATATCTGGTAAGAGGATAATATCCAAAATAGATAAGAATTCATATAACTCAATATCAAAACAAACAAACAAGCCACCCCCCTCCCAAATAACCTAACTAAAAATGGGCATAGGACCTAAATAGACACTTCTCCAAAGAAGATATACAAAATACCAACAGGTACACGAAAAAACGCTCACTTTTACTAGTCATTAGTAACACCCCAATTAAAATCATAATGAGATATCATTTTGTGCGTGTTAGAATGGCCATCATGAAAAAGACAAGAGATAACAAATGCTGGCATGAATGTGGAGAAAAGGGAACAGCTGTGCACTGTTGGTTAGATTGTAAATTGATTTAATTTTAAAAAATTAAAAATAGAGCTACTATATGATTCAGCAATTCCACTTCTGGGAATATAGCCAAAGGAAATGAAAACACTAATTTGCAAAGATATCTGCACCCCCATGTTTATAGCAGCATTATTCACAATAGCCAACACAAGGAAACAACTTAAGTTTTCATCAATGAATGAATGGATAAAGAAGTTTGGGTGTATATTTACAATGGAATATTATTCATCCATAAAAAGAAGTGATCAATGCTCGCTTCAGCAGCACATATACTAAAAAAAGAAATGATGAAATCCTACCATTTGCAACAAAATGGATAGATTTTGAAGACATGCTAAGTGAAATAAGTCAGAGAAAGACAATTACTGCATGATTTCACTTATACGTGGAATCTAAAACTAAAACAAAAAACAAATTCATAGAAAAAGGGAACAGATTTGTGGTTACCAAAGGCAGAGGGTGGGGGGTGGGGGGAATTGGAAGAAAGTAGACAAAAGCTACAAACTTCCAGTTATAAGATAAATAAGTACTAGGGATGTAATGTATAACATGATGACTATACCTAACACTGTCATATAATATATAGGAAACTTCTTATGAGAGTAAATCCTAAGAGTACTCATCACAAGGAGAAAATGTTTTCCTTTCTTCTATTTATGCGAGAAGATGGATGTTAGCTAAAGCTATTGTGGTAATCATTTCACAATATAGTAAATCAAACCATCACACTGTACACCTTAAACTTATACAGTGATGTATGTCAATCATTTCTCAATAAAATTGGGGCTAAAAAGAAAATAAATATTTGGTTAATATGTATGTGAAAATATTTATAACAAAATAATGAATACTTATAACTATTAGAGTTACCATTGTTGGAACCGATGTAATAGTGTTATCTACAACTATCACCTTTCACTACTCATTCCATATTCCCCTTACTCTCAGAAAACACCTCAGTTCATTGTGGTTCTTTTCCTATTCTTTTCCTAGTGGATGAACTAAATTCTCATTCTTAAAGGTTTTGAGACATTAACAGTCCTGCCTGAATTGTGGTGTTGTATTTTTCCATTGGTTTTTAATCATAAGACATGGTGCTTTTAAGAGACACCCTAAGTGAT